ATTGTTTATTTTAATAAAAAATAATATTTTTACACTAAAAAATCAATCCTGATACTATTCATTTTACTACTTATTTTGTCATTATCATTAAAACTCAAAATTTTCAAACTTTTTTTCATTAATTTTTCTTAAATTAAAATGATTTTTATCACGCACTTGCACGTACACTATCTTTACTTTTGTACATATTCTTTTTCAATCATGAATATCATACTATTTCTTCAAAAATAAAAGGTAAATTTTATTACAAACAAAACAAATGTAGACGAGTTAGTGCTAGCTATAGTACATGAATAATTAAAAAGCAACAAACAGCTAGCTACGGCTAGCTATAGTAAATGAATCAAATTAAGAAACCGATGAAGGATATATGAAATATTCACATATAGTTCTAAAAATATGATTTTAATTTGCCTCTAAAACTTAATATATATAGTAATAATTATTATACAGTTAATATTTGCATAAATACACGTGCTAATAATATGCAACAGTGCCGTACGTACCATTTAGCTCAAACTCGTCAGAAACGGGTTGGAGGAGGCTGACGATATTGCATTCTTTTTCGCGCTTTTGCAACTCCTGGAACAGAATAAGATCTTGATCATGATCTCTGTCGTCCTTCCGTCCTCCGTTGATCAAGGGCATCCCGGGAACTCTCCTCCTGGTACCACCCCTTAAGCTTGCTCCATTCGGTTTCGAATTCGAATTCATGGTACTATTTCTATATATCTAACGTTGAGGGTTTTGAGGTCCCTCTAGCTCATTTCGTTTTGATTAACTACAGCTGCAAAATGCTCCTTGCAATAAGATACAACATATATATAGGACATCGATCGATCCGATAGAGGAGGAGGTTTAACTTATAATTTATAAACATCGATCAAACATGGATGAATCGAGTTATACGCTAACCCCCATAGCATCGGCATAAACAGAGGTTGCCACATGGAATCTTAGCCGGCAGTTTCAGAGTCCAAACTACACAAACACAAAGCGACGAAGTTTGCTTAATTTTATCAAATGTAGGGGAGTTGCAGGCGGTGTTATTAATCTTGATTGATCTACATAAGATATGAGCAAATTATATATTACACATAAGCTACTATTGGTCAACAACTAGGCAATTTTATAATTAGGAACTAATAATTTGTTTGGTAATAAATTAAAACATAAAACTTAGGATTGATTGTCACTTAGTACTATGGTCTAGTGATATTCTTCTTCACTTGTAAGTGAAAGATTTTAGATTCAATTTTTGCCCAAGGCAAGTTTGAACTACATTATTGCTAGCTCATTGTAAGGCAAAACACATTTCATTCTTTCAGTGTAAATAATATCGTCCATTTGGTCGTGTGTGGTAAGAGAGGAAGAGAGAGTGAGATGCAAACAGCGGGATTAGAGAGAGAGAGAGAGAGAGACAAGAAGGAGAGAGAGAGAGACAAGAAGGAGAGAGAGAGAGGTTAAGACGCATACAGAGAAATGAAGATATAGGAGCAGCACTGAGAATAGAGATTAGAAATATGCTAAAATCATATGTGAGTGATACTTTAATAAAAAAACAGTAAAATTTGATTTTGTGAATTTTATTATTGTTCATCATTTTTTCTGTGATAAAAAAGTAAATAGTGTTTTCACCATCTTTTAATTAACAAAAATGATATTTTAATAGGTAATTTAGATTTGTATCGCTCGGATGAATTTCTTAATTCTTCAGTTGTTTTGCCCAGCCACTAAAAATTACCAAATTAATGCCCTATTTCTTCTCGTACTCTTCAAAACACACACTAACAAAAAAATGGGCATTGATTAAAAAGAACATAAAAACCTATGCTTACACATGAATACAAAAAGGCACAAAACCCAAGAGCCCATTTGGTATTTTACTTGAGAACTGATCTCAAAATTTTTATTTTTTTCTAAAAACTCATGCTTTAATTTAAAATTTTTAAATCCAAAACTTTGTTTGGTCTGCAAGTTCTACATCTCAAACTAATCAAAATTTCTACCGTGCTCTTTCAAAAAAGAAACAAATTTGAATACCCAGCCAACATTGATGAACTCATTGTTATCATCTCTCTCACTCCAACCTTCGTGCATATATGAAATTTTGATCTGAAAGCTGGGTTATTTCGTACTGAAATTGATTGACTGAGAAGAAAAAAGGGACCTGCTGCTTTCGAGCGAAAGCTTCCAAGTGGGTTCGGAATGTGGTAAGATGCTCCTTCATGAGATCGGCTCTAATCTTGGCAACATTCTCGCCCAACAGACGATATTGGTCCTGCAAATAAAGGTTGGATTCCAGGACTTGGTAGTCGAAATCAATGGCGGAGATTCTCCATGCAGGTTTTGACGTTCGACGTGGCTGCGCCACTGGTGGTTGGTATGAGGGATCCAATTGAGACGACGGGTCAGAAAAAGGATCTAAGAGGCAAGAGGGAAGAGAGGGGATTGGGAGAGAGACGTGAGAGAAGATCCAAAGAGTCTAAAAACACACTTTTTTGTGTTTCAACAAAAAGGCTTTGTTTTGAAAAAAATTTGAGTTGTGGTTTTGAGAATTAGATCCAAATCAAATACCAAACAAGAACTTTAAAATTGTGACTCAAAACTTGTTTTTGAGTTAAAAAAATTAGATCCAAGTCAAATACCAAATAGACCCTAAAATATTTGGAAATTTTTTTCCCTTTATACTATACTAGCCTCTCTGCACGCACTAACGACATGCGAGAGGCTTTTTTTATTATCACGGGTGCTACGTGCCCCTAAAAATCTTTTATGCATGTCCAAACCATGTTATTTAGTATTGAATACTTTTATGCACCCTAAAGATCTTTTATATATGTCCAAAACATGTCATTCGATATTGAATACTTTTATGTTTCATTATTTCTTACAAACATTTGTTATATTTTTATGTGTGTTTGGCAAGCGTATTTTTGAATTAAGGGATCAATTTTTATTACATAAAGTATGAAACGATTGTGTTGCATTGTCAAAAGGTTTAAAAATAGTAGTACATACATATACAAAAACACTAATTGTAGACAATCTCTTAATACCAACCATGTACATACATGTAGACAAATTACTAACACAAAAGAATGGTTGAATACATACAATAAAACATGGAGAGAAACAAAAGAGAAAAAATAGCAAGACTATTTTGAGTCACTATGTATGTTGTAAGTCATAGTTCCTTAGTATCTTCTTGGCTTTTGTGAACTATATGTCAGCAAAGTAATTTAGTAATCAAACTTTTAGTAATACAATTAAAGTAGAAATCAAAAACAATTAATTTAAAGCGAAGTAAATGGAATCATTAGAAAAAAAAAAAAAAAAACTAAAACCAATATTCTAAAAGTATCATGATAACACCTAGCAACACCTTATAAATTCAAATAAAAACAAGGAGAAATTAGGTTCTCATCCTTCCTTTTGCTACTCCATTGATTAAAATCCTATTCCTTTTCAATTTTTGATCAAGGTCCTTGGGTATTAATAACATCATTAATTATTTCAATAATAAAATATTTTTTTATTTCTAAATATATTCATTTAATGTTAAAAATGTTACAATTAGTATATTTATATTTATGACTAAATTTTTTATCATATATTTTTAGTTTTAGTTTGTACCCATTTTTAATTTGTAATTCTTTTTTAACTTGTACCAATTTTCTTTTAAGTTTTAATTTGTACCCATATATTAATTTCTTTTTGTGCCCATATTTTTCAAAGTTTATTTGTATTTGTACCCATATATTTTTTTTATTTGTACTTCTTATTTTGTTAAATGTACCCATGCTAATTATATGTACACATTCATGTAAAACTTTTTAATCTTAAAATATACTCATTCTTAAATATACCAATTTGTTATATGTAAAATGTACCCTTTATATATATATATATATATATATATATATAGATATAATCTAATCCATTTTTAAACTTATATGGGTACATTCTTTTTTCTTTGATTTTAAAATGTATCCATGTCAAGTTTAATCAGAAATTTACTAATGTTATTAAGCCTAATATCTTTTCTTTTTTTTTTTTGTGATTTTGAAGAATGTACCCATGTTTATACACACACACACACACACACAATAGTATATTTATATTTTAATATTTTTAATCCCACAAATTATGGTTTTTTAAATTTATACACACACACACACAATAGTATATTTATATTTTAATATTTTTAATCCCACAAATTATGGTTTTTTATTTAAAATCTCATTTATATAAACAACTAAAATTTCTAATTTTTAATTAAAAAAATATAGTAACGTACATAGAAATAAATTATCATATTAATTTCAGGGACCTCGATCAAAAATTAAAAACCCACAAGGTTTCAATCAAAAAATATTCATAACTAAGGACCGTATTCAAAGTCTCTCTAAAAACAAACAAAGCTATAGTGCTGCTTCAAAACTACAGTCCTTGTCATCGATGGCCTCATATAGTTCATCATTGGTTTTTTTTTTTTTTTTTTTTTTTTTTTTTGAATTTTCAAAACCTATATGCAATAGATTATCAAATTCTACAACTATAGAAATTAAGAAAACAATATAATTAACATTCTACAATCAATTCATTAAACTGTAAGTTTCATTAAAAAAAAAGAACTTTAACGAAAAGCTCTCAGTACTGTTGACTTTAACGAAAAACCACATTTTTATACAAAAAAATCAATTTTGTTACAATTTATTTTACCCTTTATTTTGTTCTTATCGTTAAGAAAGATTATATTCACACATCCCAATTTACTTTTCTCACACCCTTTTAATTTTTTAATATTTTCTACACACCACTAACATTTGATAACAAAATATTAAAAAATTAAAAAGGTGTGAGAAAAGTAATTTGGGGTGTGTGAATCTCTCTATAGTTAAAACTCAAAGTTTTCAAGCATTTTTCATTAGTTTTTTTTTAAAGTATGGTAGCAAGAAAAATAAAAAAAAAACATAAAATAAATGTTAGGAAAAAAATGCAAGTTAGTTCTAATGAAGGGACTTCTTCTAAGCAGGATTTACTAACAAACGGCATTAAGTAATGTGAACTGTACAACTTTAATACAAAACATAATGTATAGTACGATATGCAATCAATATGTAATAACTTTTATGTTGTAGTTCAGGAAAAACCTATAGAGTACTCGAATATGTGGTACTGTGGTAGTCCAATTTTACATAATCCTCTTTTCCCTACACTCTTAACTAATCCACCTACTGATATAAATTTGGCTTTGATTGTCTTCATTGCCAACATGGCCCAACGAATGAGTTGACCAACGCTCCATGGGTTTCTTTTGTTAGTGAAACTACAGCGAAGACACACCAATATACTTTAGTGGAAATAAGCCATACTTTGAAAAACTGCACATACCATATATGATCTTCTCCAAAACAATGTAAACGAAAAATGGAATCCAAAAATTAAGAGGCATTAACACTGTAGATGCGTCACTTTTAATGTCCTACATAATGAGTAACCAAACACTACCAATAGACACAATAAAATTAGTTCAAAACTTTACACACATTGCAAGTGAAAGAGAAGATATTCAGTAGCAAAATAGAAAATTGAGAAAATAATGGCAAAAATTTATTGAGACTTATAATATCAAAGAATAAAACAATTGACAGACTCACCACAACCAATCTAGAAAGACATAGACAAACAATTACAAAACTACAGTAACCAATCATGAAAATATTCTTCATAAATAAACCACACCTTGTTCTTGTAAATCAAAACCCGTTCTTGGTAACCGACGAATGACAGTATCATCAAACATATTTGGTCACATATCTTTACTATGAGTAACATATATTGTTTTTTGAGGAAGAAGACGTCCATCATCTTCCCACCTAAACAACAGAGAAACACTAATCATCCCCTTCTATTAAAAAATGTTTTTGACATTTGTGGAAATCAAATTATACCTGTGAATTGTGATCCATCGTGCTAACTGACAAATATATCCACCCTCATTGGTTTAGCCTCCGCTGGCATCATGGGAAGAAACTGCAATAGGGACAAAATGGAATTGGATTTCCCCTCATAAGGAAGGAAGGTTAGTACCTTTAACAGGGTTGTATTTCTGGTTGAAATGGGATGGTGATCAAACTCCAGAAATGCAGTCTAGACAGCGGGCCCTTCCTTTTCCGAGTGAACTGAATCGGGAAAGGGTCAGTCTCATCTAGAGCATGCTGCACATCATTCGTCCTTTTTCGGCAACAAAAACCATAATTTCATCTCAATTATCACTAACAAACAGATAAATATCCTCCGTTAGCATAAAGAGAAAAATGATAAGACTTGTGTTCCTTCATTGATCGAAAAAAACCCTTCACTGATAAACATCACACCCATTTTTTTGTTCCACAGTAAATGAGTTAAACCACCAAATGAAGCCAAAGAACGTACATCATACCCATTTTTCTTGGTCTGTAGATTGTGAAATTTGTTGAAATGTGAACATCTATTTTTCAGCGCACCCTATTCCCTGAAGATTTTGCACAAAATTGAACCTAATGTATCCAAATCCAATAGTAAAATTAATGCATAAAACCAGAGATAGGAGAGAGCGAATACCAATCCAATTCCAAACTTTGGATTCATGATTTTCCTTTTTTCAGGAGGAAAAACGGTTTCTTTTTCTTTTTCTTTCTTTCCTCTCTTTTTTTTTTTTTTTTTTTTTTTTTTTTTTTCAGGAGAAAAAACGGTCTGTTTTGCAAAGTGATAGTGTAGTGCAGTTGGAGGTTCATCACGTCTTCATCCCTTCTCCCTTTTTATAAACTTTTCAAACAATTTACCTTTTATTTGACTAAAAAAAAAAATTCACTTTTTAATTTCCAGGTTTTTATATTTTTATGACAAAATTATCCCTGCGAATTTGTTTTCATTATTTTCGGCCAGTTTTAGCCTTTTTTTTGTTTGAGGGATGTGTTAGTCCAATAATTTTTGGTGAAGCTCTGAAACATCAAAACTCACTTTTAGCTTTTTAAGAGCATCTCCAAAGGAGATGTCAAAATGTCCACATAAGTTATAACAGTAAAAAAAGACCACACTAACATTCTCCAACTGAAATGTCAAATCCTATGTGGCGATAATATGGATTGGTAGTAAGGTAGTTGCTGTCAAATTTGACAGCAGCTTCAAAATTAATTATTAATGTTTTTTATTAATTTTTTATTGGTTTAATCATCGTTGCAATTAATGTTGTTGTTGACTTCTCTTTTCTTTTTAACACCGTATAAGGGAAACGGTTCCCTTTTGCAATTAATGTTGCAATTAAGTTTTTATTAATTTAATCATTTATTTTATAATATAATAAAATAATAATTTAATTTGACATATCGGGTGGACAATAAAAATTTTAAAAGATGTCAAAATGCCACATAAGCTGTCAAATTTAAATTTTATGATCAAAATTTGGCATCTCTTTTGGAGATGCTCTAATAGAGAATAACCTCTTTGCACGCGCTCATGTGCATGCGAGAAACTTTTTTTCTAATCACGGACGCTAAGCGTCCCTAAAGATGTATTGTGTTAGCTATTTACCATAATTGTTCATTGGGCATAGACATTAATAGTGTCACTATAGTTTTAACTTAAGTTACAAACAAACTAAAATCCTAGTTGGTCAAATAGTATTTCTCCAAGTTCAATGAAAATTGATTATTGCAAAAAACACATGCTCTTCTTCTTTTAACCAATCCAAGGTCAAATAAAATTGGCTCACTTTCTGGAGTGTTTTGTAACAGTCCACATAGAACAATAAGCATGGAGATCATAGTTAGCTACAAAAAAAATAACAATTTCTACCTTGATTAAAAAACTTAAACTCGTTCAAATGTTGTTATGAGTATAAAATTAACAAATAAATAAGACAAAATGACCTAACAATTCAATCTCTATTCATTTCTTGATCCTCCCAAATTTTATTTCCATGGGATAATGGAGGGGTCAATATTATTAGTCTTGAACTAATATTGTTTAAACCTCCATACCTGGAAGAGAAAAACACATAAACAGAGTGAAGCTAAACATAATGTCCCAAATCAATCTTGATAGGAAAAAAAATGGAAACTGTAAAATAAACCTAGCAACATATATTTAGTATTTCTTCTTTTTTTTTTTTTTTTTTTTTGAACGCTAATTTGATATTAAAACTGACCTAACTTGAGCTTCCAAATCATCAAGCTTGGCAGCATAATCTTACTAAACCAACTCCACAGCCTTCCTGTGTTTTTCTTCTTTATTCATCCACTCCTCCCTCATTTTCTTCACCTCTTCGTTCAAGCCACGACTTGAGCTGTGGCCATTGCCAACATCCATGCTAGTATTGACACTCTTAGAAGGGAACTATGACACATGATTTTACTTATGTTTTTCAACCCACTTTTGTAAATATAGAAGAAGCTAAATGCAAATATTCTATATGTTTACTCTTCCTCAATTTGGAATACTACTTTGAGATTCCAAGTATGATATTGGAAGTGAACACAATAAAGCGATAAGATAAAAAGACAGCAATTAACCAAGACAATGAAGAACTTGAATAATTAAAATTACAAATGGGAAAAATCGAACCTGTATGACCACGCTAGTGTTTGACAAACTCAGATAGTTCCTTCAAACATGCATAGAAGCGTCTTTAGCCTTGCAAGATACATCACAGTAGCATATTATTGCCTAAATTTCTATCCCTAATGAAAAAACTTGTGTCAATAAAATTAATAAACAAAGAAAAAAGGAAAAATGAATGAAAAATTAATAAGAGAAACCCATCAAATGTCAATCTCTCCTCTCTTTTTGTGCAAAACCTTATGATTTTATTACTTTATAAGCAATCATGGCCTATCGTTATAAGAAAATTTGCCGGAAAAGGAAGAAGAACAGCTAAAAAAAAAAAAAGAGAGAGAGAAGAAAACCCACCTATACTTGAAGTACCAAATGTTTTCGTTTGCCCATTCAGGTTTCGTGTCACTTTTTCCCAACTCAACCCTACACGTCAACATCCAGTTTCTAGGGTTTTCAATCTCCGATCACCACCAATCCCCAGATCCATGGTGGTGGCTTCAATGTATTTTTGTTGCTAAAATTAATCACCAATGTCACTATCGTTTGGATGAGAAAGTGCAAACTCTTTGTGGAAAACAGTAACGAATGCATTAATCACCGTTGATGAAATACATATATCCAACATTGAAGAGTAAAAATAAACAGTCAAACTACAAACAACAATTGTAGAGAACATATATATCAAAATGCAAACAGAAACATGTGCAAATAAGAAAACTAAAGAGGAAGCAAGGAGTAGCTTTAAATAATAAGTCGCAACCATCTGGAATTCATCATCCATCATCCCAAATTGCACACTTTGGACAAAGATTGAAACTGTAGCCCACACAATTGGTACTTCGTGCCCGTACCCTCCAATCTTTAAATATAATGAAACTGCTATGACTTTTTGCGCTAACATACGTCTTTTTTTTTAGCTTCTTCAGTACCGTAGCCTTTACCAATGGCCTCTACTGGAATATCTGCAGTTTGAGATAAACTGATGGAATGGTCTCCGCCCATCCTCCTAGGCAAGGATATCTAATAGTTTGAGAAAAACTGATTTGCAAATGTGGTGGAATTTGTCTTTTCCACGTTTGATTTCTAAATGGTACGATATTTACTATTTTATCCCTATTTTGTTGGGTAGTTGTTAATTATTTTCTGTATCAAAGTAAGGACATGATTGGAATATTGAAAGCTTCATCTATTTAGGCTTCTCACTTTATATATAGGAAAAATTAGTATCTGGTCCTTAGTTACTAATGTTCTTTGATTGAAACCTTATTGGTTTTCAAATTTTGATTAAGGTCCCTAACATTAATACAATAATGGATTTACATGTCAGCTTCATAATTTTTAAAATAAAAATTAATAATTGATTTAGGATTTTAATACTCACACCTTTATTAAACTCCTAACTAATTTTCAATTCAAAACATTTCCAAAATAAAAAATAAAAAATTTGAATAAGTTTGTACCCCTTAATTTTTTATGAAAAGGTTTCCATTTTTTTAATCTTATATGTACCCATTCATGTAATTTTTCAAATTTTTAATCTTAAAATGTACCCATTCTTAAATATACCAATTTGTTGTAGTAAAATGTTATTTATTTATTTATTATTATTTGTTATATAAAATCTATTCAAATTTTTTTCTAATCCATTTTTAAACTTATATGAGTACATTCTTTTTCTTAATTTGAGAATGTATCCATGTCAAATTTAATCAAAGAAATTTACTAATGTTTACTTAGCCTAGTATCTATTATTTTTTGTGTGGTTTTGAAGAATGTACCCATATTTTGGTACAATATTTTTTTTGGTAATTTTGATGAATGTACCCATATTTATACACACACACACACACACACACACACACACACACACACACACACACAATATAATGGAGAGTATAATTTATATTTTAATAATTTTAATCCACAAATTATGGGTTTTTTTTAATTTAAAATCTCATTAGTACAAACAACTATAAATTTCAATTTTTAATTTAAAAAAATATAGTAACCTACATAAGAATACATTATCAATTTATCACATTAATTTTAGGGACTTCGATCAAAAATTGAAAACCTATAAGGTTTCAGTCAAAGATTATTGACAATTAGGGACCGTATCCAAAGTGTCCCTTAAATGTAATTACCCCACTCCAACTAATATCGAGACATTTTGTAATAAAACTTCACACCTGACAGATGTCACATCCCTGCTCGGGCCCCGACCATATCCCAGGCTTGACTCCATTGTAGCACGATATTGTTCGCTTTGGGCCCCGACCACGCCCTCACTGTTTTGTTTCTGGGAACTTACACTAGAACTTCCTAATGGGTCACCCATCCTGGGAATGTTTTCGTGCGAACTCGCTTAACTTCGGAGTTCCAATGGAACCTGAAGCTAGTGAGCTCCCAAAAGGCCTCGTGCTAGGTATAGATGAGAATATACATATAAGGCTTACAGGATCCACTCCCCTGAGCGACGTGGGATGTAACAATCCACCCCCTTAGGGGCTCGTTGTCCTCGTCGGCACACTTCCGACCAGAGATTAGCTCTGATACCAAAGTGTCACATCCCGGCTTGGGCCCCCACCACATTCCGACCTCGACTCCATTGTAGCACAATATTGTTCGCTTTGGGCCCCGACCACGCCCTCACTGTTTTGTTTATAGGAACTCACACAAGAACTTCCCAGTAGGTCACCCATTCTGGGAATGCTCTCGCGCGAACTCGCTTAACTTCGGAGTTCCAATGGAACTCGAAGCCAGTGAGCTCCCAAAAGGCTTCGTGCTAGGTATAGATGAGAATATACATATAAGGCTTACATGATCCACTCCCCTAGGCGATGTGGGATGTAACACAGAGATTTGTAATTATGAATTTTTATTTATTTGAATTATCCTTAAAACCACTGTTTACGAGGGTTTGTAGGGTTTTAGAAACTCAAACGACGATGTACTCATCGTCAAACTGTAGATGATGCAATCACGAGCATTTGCATATATGTATTTTTTTTCTTCACATATTGCATTTGTAAATTAATTATTGTGATTTTTTTTTAATGTGATTTGGAATTTTTATGGGAGATTATGTACTACTATGGCGATTGTAGTAACTAGTAAGGTTTTTCATTAGTAGTTTAAAATTATCAAATTAATTTTTTTTCTTAACAAGTGACACGATAATGATCCTATTAGTTAACGTGTTGACTCAAAATCCATTATTTTAGTGCCATTTTGGGTCCAATCGTCGAGTCGTGCAAAAAATTGCAAGGTCTACCCGAAGCCGCGTGCTACTCATATTTAACCATTAAACTTGGCCTAACAATTTTCAAACTCTCTATAATAAGTGGATTACCTTGTTTGTTAGGTATTATTCTTTAACTCACTGCGTCCTGAGCTGAAACTCTCCCGGATGAGGATCTTCTCTATATCCTCTTTGTGGGGATTTTAGGGATCCTCACATCCTAAAAGTTCAGTACATTGTGCAGCCAATTTTTGTTGGGTACTATGATTTTTGACCGTATGATGTATGATAAGTGGTTAGGATGTGAGGATCCCTAGGATCCCCACAATTTGGATCAGGATGGTATCTGTATCCAACTCTCCCTACCTCCTTTAAGTACCTTTAGGGTGCGTTTGTTGCATCGGACTATTTTGAACTGGACTAACTTTTGGGACTAAGCTAGACTGTCTTGGCTTGAACTAAGCTGGATAAGAATAATGAAGTGTTTGGTGTACTATCGGACTAAATCACGGACTAAAATATTTTACTATTATTAATACACTTTTTTATCTTAAAAAAAATAAACAAATTACACCTATTTTTATTTGACTCTCTCTCCCTGCCTCTTTTTTTCTTTGTTCATTTGCTCTGGTTCTTCACGCCCAGATTTGCTAAACTCAAACCAGAAAAAATAAAACCCATATCTTCTCTTCTTTTCATTTACTTTCTCTTGAATTCAAACCCATATTTATCTTCTTTTAATTTACTTTTCTCTTCAAATCAAACCCAGAAAAATCCCCAATTTTTTTTTTCAATTTGCAAAGGCTTCGTCGATCATCGGATCTGCAAATCGACGAACTTGAGCTCCATTTGGTCCAAAAGGTCGAGCTTTGGCTCCTCCCTGGAACTGAAAACAACCCATTTCTTGAGCCTTAGAGGGAAATTTTGGGTTGTGCAAGAAAGTGAAGGAAGAAGACGAGTGCGAGTGAGAAAGAAAGGGGTAGTGTTGGTGGTGAGGGAGAGAGAGAAACCGTCCATTTCTAGAGAGAGAAGGGAACAGCCAAGCTCATCAGACAAAGATCTGGGTTCTGGGCTTTGGGTTCTCCGTGATTCGAAACGAGCAAACGAAGAACTGACAATTCTGGGTTCTCCACGATTCAAAACGAGATGACTTGATTCTGGATTCTAGGTTCTCTGCAGTTCTGGGTTGGTGGGTGTAGGTGATGTTGGCGAAGCGAGCAGGCGAGGTCTTAGCAATCCCATGCTATTTGGGGGGTCTCGCTAAGACCTCCTAGTGACGGATATAGTCCATGCGAGTCCGGCTTTATCCCATTAAACTTAGTCCGTGTAAGTAACAAACATAGGACTACACTAATGTGTAGTCCAATCCAGTCCAGTGAGGGTTAAGGAACCCAAACAAACGCACCCTTAGTGTAGATTAGTGTAGCATCCATAGGTTTAGAATCATTTTTATTTTGTGCAAAATATCTCCAAATAAAAAATGTCATTGAAAAATGTGTACTTATGGAATACATTTTAAATATATATTTTTGAACAAATGATATTATCTACATTAAGAGAGAAGAGATGTGCTTAGTCTCATAATATGCTAGCAATAATATGATTTAAACTTATCTTGGCGATAATTGAATATAAAACCTGTCACTTATAAGTGAAAAAAAAATATAACTAAACCGTAGTGATACCTTCTATATTTTTGTTCTTGTTAATCAAATACTTCTCGCTTCAAAAAAAAAAAAAAAAAAAAAAAAAACATGTACGTACACATGAATCTCTTAATTTGATTACAAATATCGACGGTAGGTACTAGCGATGTGTGGGCATTTTTTCTGAGTTGACCAAATAGAAAAAGAAAAAGAAAATACGAACGTTTGAGCTGACGGTCAAAGTGACGGAGGATTTACATTTGCAGCTATTTCGCCACTTGGGAATAAATTAAACGGTCACGGACACTTTGTTAGTTAATGATACTTGTTTATTTTTCTTTCGGTAAAATGATACTTGTTGTTTGGTGTAGGTAGACATAGATCATCTGGAAAGCTCCAATATCGGGGGTTGGCTCTGCTTCCTACTTCCTGCTTCCGCCTTCAACATTTAACAGTCCAAAATCTCTGAATCAGAATTTGTGATTCGGCCACAGATGGATGAAAACGAGGACCTGTTTTCGTCCCCGAGCTTCTCCGGTAACTCACCACCAAGCGACCTCCGCAAATTCAGCCTCCTCGACCAGACTCGCACTGACACACTTACTCCTTCCGCTCCAAAGCTATTCCCGGACTCTTCCTCTTCCTCATCGGAAGATGAGGACAACGTCGTCTCCCTCCACTCCACCTCCAAACGCCTCGACTACATGCTCCAATTCCTTGACCGCAAGCTGTCCGTCATCAACGACGACGACTACAACAAGAACAACAACAGCAGCAGTAACTATAACAATAATAATAATAAGAGCAACGCCTCCGAGGGGAACTGCTCGTCTTCGCTTCCGGAGTTCGTGGCTAGTGGGGGAGGGACTGGGATCTTCAAAGTCCCGATTCGGGCGGCAGTCCATCCAAACCGGCCGCCGAGGCTGGAAGTGAGGCCCCACCCGCTGAGGGAGACTCAGATAGGGTGCTTCTTGCGGACAATGGTGAGCACCGCGTCCCAATTGTGGGTTGGGACGGAGTGCGCCGTTAGGGTTTGGAACTTGAGCGATCTGTACTCGGCGGCAGGACAAGGCAAATCAGGGGATGAGGAGGCGGTGCCGTATAGGGAGTCGGTATGCACATCGGCTGTGATATGCTTGGTTGGGGATGAGGGGAATAAGGTGGTGTGGAGCGGGCATAGGGATGGAAGGATCAGGTGTTGGAAGATGGATTCGGCTCCTACTCCGACGAATCCGTTTAAGGAGGGCTTATCTTGGCAGGCTCACAGAGGCCCCGTTCTTTCAATTGTCATCTCCTGCTATGGTAAATTTATTTGTTTGTTTATTTATTTATTTATTCTACTAGTGCTGCTGCTAATGCTGCTACTACTACTACTTTGATCCATCTAGGGGATCTATGGTCAGGCTCAGAGGGTGGTTCCATCAAGATATGGCCACGGGAAGCTCTTGAAAAGGCTCTCTCCCTAACAGCCGAAGAAAGGCACATGTCTTCTTTGTTGGTCGAGAGATCTTACATTGAACCTTGGACCCAAGTTGCCGTCAATGGTTTCAATAACATATTAACTTCAGATGTTCGCTACTTATTATCTGATCGTTCTGGAGCCAAGCTCTGGACTGCTGGTTATCTCTCATTCGCATTGTGGTATGTCACACAAAAATGTTGAATTCATCATTTTTGGTTTTTCTGGTGCACCATTGTGGTATGTCACACAAAAATGATGAGTTCGCACCAGAAACAGTTTGGTTTTTCTGGTGCGAACTCATCATTTTTGTGTGTGTAAAATGTTAGGGAGTATTGTTTTGGCATATGGGTTTAAAGTTTTTTTCAGTGCCCCTTTGAATTATCTTATGCACTATGAAATGTTTTAGAATTATTAGTGAATGAGAACTGCAGAAACTACTAACCTTTTGTGACTTCAGACCTCTCTATAGCGATACTCTATTGGAACAACCTTTATCTAGTCACGAAAAGTTTCAGTTCCAACTTGGGCCAGTTATAATAGGAATAAACTCCACATTTTAATTAGTTATAATTTTTCTAGGTTCTATCTTAAAAAAACTTGCTTCCACATGGTAATAATTGTCAGTAAGTCCAAAAATATGCAATTCACAAATAAAAATTTAAGATGAAATGAAATATTTTCTCTAAAGTTGTTTGAGATAATGAGTTATTCTTTAGAATTGTTGCTACGTCTCTGAGCTTCCGTGTATGTAATAACTCGTCAACATGGACATCTTGTTCTTGAAGCCAAACTGTTTCTAGCTTCTCAAGCATGTTTAGAGCTTCTTGGCATGAAACTTTAGGCATTAAAGATATCACTACATACATACATGCATTAGATATTTTAGAACTAGGTTTCTCTTTTTTTCCAATGTCTACATCTTGGGAATTGACATGTTTCTATAGTAATGTAGATTATTGTATCTATACAGCTTTCATTAGATAACTAAGTGAAAGAACAAGTTTTGTAACGGCAGCTCTATTAAGTAATAACCTCCCTGTAGTAATAAATTGGTTTGGTCCCAGCATTATGACTATATAGAGGTTTTATTGTCCGAATGATTACGTGTGTGGGGGACTTTCTTCCTCTCTTTGTTTTTTCAAATTGGCAAACGTTTCTACTGGAGAATGTTGAATTTTTTTGTTGTTGAATATTTTACTCAAAGTTTGAAGTTTGACCCCCGCCTGCCCGCCCGCTTCACATTTTTATAGAGTAAGCTGTGGGCACCTACAGTTGTAAGGGCAGGCTAAATAAAGTCATGTATTTAAGTTATGCTAGTAGTTTTCATATACAGGGATGCTCGTACAAGGGAGTTATTGAAGCTGTTCAGTACAGATGGTCAGATTGAGAATCGAGTGGACATTTCGTCAGCACAGGACTTCTCAGCTGAACCCATTGCTGGATCAAAGAAAGACAAAACACAAAGTTCTTTTGGTTTCTTTCAGCGGTCACGTAATGCCATAATGGGAGCAGCAGATGCTGTTCGTCGAGTTGCAGTGAAGGGTGCCTTTGGAGATGATAATCGAAGAACTGAAGCACTGGTGATAGCAATGGATGGAATGATTTGGACTGGGTGTACAAATGGCCTACTTGTACAATGGGATAGAAATGGCAATCGTATACAAGAATATTACTATCATTCTTCTGCTGTCCAATGCTTTTGTACATTTGGGCTACGTATATGGGTTGGTTATGCAAGTGGTACTGTCCACGTATTGGACCTTGAGGGTAATCTGCTTGGAGGATGGGTGGCTCACAGCAGTCCTGTCATAAAAATGGCTGCAGGAGCGGGTTTTATATTTACCTTGGCTAATCAAGGTGGTATATGTGGATGGAATATCACGTCCCCTGGACCTCTTGACAATATATTGTGCTCAGAGTTAGCCGGCAAAGAATTTACATATACAAGGATAGAAAATTTGAAAATATTGACTGGTACATGGAATGTTGGACAGGGAAGAGCATCTCAGGACTCACTTATATCCTGGCTGGGCTCTGTTGCTGCTACTGTTGGAATTGTTGTTGTCGGGTTGCAAGAAATTGAAATGGGCGCTGGTTTTCTTGCCATGTCTGCAGCCAAAGAAACTGTAAGTTTTTATTTTATTTTTTATTAATGAATTTTCTTGCCTAGAGAGTTGATAAATTGCTGCTTGGTGCCTGATGAAAAAGGTTCGATGCAAGAAATTTTGAGCCACATAGAATGCCTTAAGGTTAATCGTATCCAAAAGTATCTTTGAATGCTCATCAAAATGCCTTCCATCGAGGACAATGCTTATGCATTCTTTTGCATATGAGCAAGTTTCAATTGATACAACAAGCCTAGACGAAGATTATTGTTATTATAATAATGATGGCAATATGCATGTGTTGAGTTTATCTTTGAAATGCTTGTCAAACTGCCTTCGATGAAGAACAATACTGATATATGTTATTGTGTGTGATCATCAATCATTTAGTTCAGGAAGCCTAGGTCTAGAATTAAGACGATGAGGATGTTAAGGTTATAGCCATTTATATAAAAATCATTTTAAATTATTAATATTGGGCTCAAACTCTAAGAATCTATTTCCATCACCCAAATGCCATGCATTGTTTAGAGCACATGTACCACTGGTGAAGTGGACCTCTGGAGCAGCATTCTGTATCTTCTATGATGCAACCAAACACAAATAGTAATGCTTTTATTTTTAATAAGGCGATGCTTGAGTATTTCTTTACTTAACCCGTTAACCACAATTCTCTTTCCAATGAAAGCAATGGAATGGCTGTAACTTGATATTTCTCACATGTTAGTATTGTCACTTGTATGGTTGACTAAATCACCTCTCGTCATGACTCTCCTTCATCTGTAGGTAGGGCTTGAGGGCAGCTCTGTTGGGCAGTGGTGGCTGGATATGATTGGAAAAACATTGGATGAAGCTTCGAAATTTGAGCGCGTTGGCTCCAGGCAATTGGCAGGATTGCTCATTGCTGTGTGGTGAGTATCTTTTGACAGGAAGCTCCCTAATTCGTTGATTGATTATTTCTTTATCATTAAGGGTCTGTTTGGGTTTAAAATTTGGATTTGAATTTGGTTTTCAAATCCATTTATTTGAATTTTTTTTTGTTTGAATAAAATTCTTGGCTCCTAGATTTCATCTAAAGGTTTAGAAAAATATAAAAAATATAATCAGTTAATTAAAATGTTAAATATATAGACTGAAATTTAGTAAAAGAACAGTGATTCACAGTCTCACCAATTCAGAATTTTCCTGCGTTTTCCCTCAATTTCTCAACAACCAAACACTGAAGATGGAGATTTGTGGGATTTGATTGTTGATTTCCCACAAATCAACCTATGTCCCTCATATGTCTCTCCCTCTTCTTGAGGTCACTTTGTAGAGAGAGATGGAGATTTGATCCATGATTTTGCATCGATTGCAAATAAAAACTGGAATCTGATCTGCAAGTGGAGAAAGGAAAGAAAGGGAGAAATACTGAGAGATGGCAGCGGAGGGGAGAGAGAGGTCATGAGGAACATACCTCTAATCGAGGGTGGTGAAGGTTTAGATGGGGGCATGAGTTCTGAGACGGTTCGATTGCAATTTTGTCATCGAGGACATTGAAGAGATTGAGGGATTTGTCAAATGACTGGTTCTCATTAATGCAGCCCAAATGACTAGATTTGGATTTAGAGACCCAAATTCAAATCCAAGTCCAAATTCACCCTTAAATCCAAACGGGCCCTAGAATTGATTTTCGTACCCTTTTATATAGATTTTACCCTTGCAAGTCTGTCATCATAACTTTTCAGTTTTTTTGTCTTTGAGGGTGAGAAACAATCTTAGGACTCATGTTGGGGATCTTGATGCTGCAGCAGTTCCATGTGGTTTTGGGCGTGCCATTGGTAACAAGGTAGGGCTACCTCTGTTATGCTGATTTGTACTGTGATAAAAATTGTGTTTGTGTTGCGATAATTAACAAAATGATTGCCAAAGATATAAAGGGAAAACGGAAAAGGAAAGATGAAATATATTAAAGTAAGGATCAACTTTAGTGCTTTGCATGTGAGTGAATTTTAATAGCTCTGTGCCTGTCCCAGTATCTGTTTTGAGGTCAAAGTTCACAATTCCACACACGAATAATCTCATGGAAAAATTAGTGTTAATACTGGTTATACGTCACAAATGAGATTTGATAGTTTTCCTGCTTATCCTATGAGTTCTCCCCTGTACTAGTGATATTATTCAATTTGGTGAACTTTATTTATTAATCTACTCATAGAGGGTAGAAACATCAGTATTCTGGTTCTAATCTAAGTTTCTGCTTATAAGTTGATGAATATAGATCAGGAGGTGGTCAATTAATTTCAAATATTTTTTAGTAGTCATTTAGATGGTCTCAATTTCTGGATGGAGATGAAAAGAAATTTTTTTTGAGACCAAATGTGAGGAGGTGAATTTTTAGTAGGATAAATTTTGTTTTGGGCATCTGTGGGATCAGGTTTTGAGTTTTTTAGAAAACCTATCTTCTTGGATTGGAAGGCTGTGGTTACTTACGAGATTGCTTTATTTTTTCCCATATTGTGCATGTTGATTTATCTTGACTTGACCTGGACTGCTTGTTCACCTTCATTCTGCTGTATTACATTTTTACTAATATGTGTACTCTGTTTTCTATAAAAATTTTTTTTTAGGGGGTTTCTGTCTCCCATTGTGTTTTCATAAGCATGCATATTGCATACACACTGGTACACCTGTGCTTTTGTTCATTGTACTGTTGTGTTGCCATTTTCATTTGGTTATGACCAATATTAATTGGCTAAAGGTCGTTCAAACAGGGAGCTGTTGGTTTGAGGATTAGAATATATGGCCGGGTAATGTGCTTTGTTAATTGTCACTTTGCTGCACACTTAGAAGCCGTTAATCGCCGCAATGCAGACTTCGATCATGTATATCGAACAATGACCTTCAGCCGACCTAACTTTCTCAATTGTGCAGCTGGTACAACACTTAACTTTTCTTCTATTGTTCCCTTGCCTTCTCAATATATTTGTTTTGCTTTGTTTATAGATCTGGCTTGCCATTGATCCATTCTATTGCAGCTAGTGCTTCATCTGCAGTTCAAATGCTTCGTGGCACACATGTATGTGTAAAATTGGTAGAAGCACCTTTTTGGTTTTTAAGTTACTTGTTACAGGATCAATTTTCTTCCAGCCATCTTATAAACCATTGTTGGTGTCTTTTCAGGCTATTGGTAACAATTCTGCAGAAGGGATGCCTGAGTTATCTGAGGCAGACATGGTCATATTTCTTGGCGATTTTAACTATCGACTTGATGGTATATCTTATGATGAAGCTAGAGATTTTGTTTCTCAAAGATGTTTTGATTGGCTTAGAGAAAGGGATCAGCTCCGAGTGGAAATGGAAGCTGGAAATGTCTTCCAAGGAATGCGTGAGGCAGATATTAAGTTTCCTCCCACGTATAAGTTTGAAAGGCATCAAGCTGGTTTAGCAGGTACAGTTTACTGTTGTACATGTGATTCCTAAATTCATTGCTTTAGATGGGCACAAAAAAGTGAAAGAAAAAAAAAGGGATTGGTTGAAGATTCTTTACTGAGTGCTGAGTAATCTATTTAGGTCATTTAGCAGTATTTAGTTATAACTTGTGTGGTAGGTGGTCTGTCAAGACTCAGTGACAATGTTTCTGTTTTTTGAATTACTAGATCGTTTCACTTTTATGTTGTATTGTGCTGTTTGAACATTTATGCTTCGGCAAGAAAAAGATAAGACATTTTTCAATGTAAGGCATTTGCGTTGCTTTTCTTCTGAACTCTAAACTCGTATTAATTGCATTCCTATAGGATATGATTCTGGTGAGAAGAAGCGCACTCCAGCTTGGTGCGATAGAATCTTGTACCGTGACAGCCGCTCAGCGTCAGTATCAGAGTGCAGCTTAGAATGCCCTGTAGTGTCCTCAATCTCACAGTAAGTTTTCCCATTTCAAATTTCAAAGGAATAGGGTTAAGTAATTCGTACAGGCCTATTGTTATATGTTGTGCCTTGTGTAACTTATGGATTGGAAAGAAAATAGTTATTGTGGCCAGAGGATCTCATCTCCTATGCATTTCATGCTCACGAGCGTTCACATTGACTTTTTTTTAGTTGTTAGAGGCAAACTTTATTGGAAATAAATTTGTTTTATGAAATATGCAAAGTTCATGAGATTGGGTGGCAGTGAAATCTTTGATGGAATGATGAATGCACGAGTAACATGTGTTTCAAGTCTGACATCTTCTTTTATAGGTACGAGGCCTGCATGGATGTGACAGACAGTGATCACAAGCCTGTCCGTTGCATTTTTACTGTTGATATTGCTCGAGTTGATGAGTCTCTAAGGAGACAAGAGTTTGGAGAAATCCTTAAATCAAATGAGAAAATCAAATGTATTATTGAAGAACAATGCAAGATTCCAGAAACTATTGTCAGTACAAACAACATAATCCTTCAAAACCAGGACACCTCCATTTTGCGTATTACAAATAAATGTGGCGATAAAGATGCTTTTTTTGATATTATTTGCGAAGGACAGTCAATCATTAAGGAGGATGGACCCACATCAGACTATTGTTCCTTTGGCTTTCCACGATGGCTTGAGGTAACTTCCCAAGCTTTGGAACAATACATGTGCTTTTCATTCCAATTATTGTTTTTGGCCCAATTTTCATTACAATAATTGAGTGTTTTGGTTGTGGAGGGTGTTAGTCAACATGGTAATTTTGCAGTGAAAAGTTGTTTGTATACGTTTTTTTAGCTACAATAACCCATTAGGACAAGGAATGCGTGTAGGCATTGGAGTTTCAACGATTGGAGCTGTTAGAAATGAGTTGGAAGATACTATGCCAGTTTCTATCCTTGCAATATCATTTTTGGGTTTTTTTTTTTTTTTTTTTTTTTTTTTTTTGCCCCTGGTGGGGTGGTGGGGGAGGAAGAAAAGAAAGTGATTTTCTGCCATTAGAAAGGTGAATTAGACCACAGAAAGTGCTTATGAATTTGCCATTTTCCTTTTTCTGTAAGGAAAGTTAGGATTGTTCTATATTGAGAATTTAAGACTAAGATATGGATTTTAAAATCAGAGTTGCACCAATGTTGGAAACTCGTGCATTCATCCTTCTGGGCATAACCATGTTTCATTGTTATCCGTAAGTTAGGAACAAAGTTTACCAAAGTTATTGTTGTTAACATGGAAATTCTTCTGTTTTTTAATTTTGTACACCAGACTACATTCTGGATAGCGTGCTAATGTTGTAGCAGTAGAAGTCGTGTTATTATTGATCATTTGAGTCGTCTGTTGCATAATTAAATTGTTTCCATTTGGATCAGGATGTAACGTGGTACCTTGGTCAAACCTTGTTCTCTCCAACATTTAGTTGAAAATAATTTGTTGTAATTTTTAATTTTTGGCCAAAGATAATTAGTCTTGATTCTGAACCAGGTTACTCCTTCAGCTGGCATTATCAGACCAGATCATATAGCTGAGGTGACAGTTCATCACGACGAGCACCAAACCCTAGAAGAGTTTCTTCATGGTGTTCCACAAACTTGGTGGTGTGAAGACACCAGAGACAAGGAAGTCATATTGGTGGTTAAGGTGCGTGGCAGTTACACTACTGACACAAGACATCACCGTGTATGTGTGCGCCAATGCTGTTCAGCCAAGACAAACCAAAACGAACCCACTGGAGACAGCACCAGACAAGCACAAGGGACGGTTCTTCGCCGGTCTGATTTTCAACACCTGAGCAGTTCCTATGATGTGGTTGACCATCTCTGGAGTTCGCGTAGTCCTTAAAGCAGCACACTAAAACTGGCTCTTTGATGGGCAGAACGAGTTTTTTTTTATTTTTTTTATTAACCAATTCTTCAAGGATTTTGTTGTAAATAACCGAGAAACGTTGTTGAATTTCTAAGGTTTTACAAAATTTGATTTGTGTCCATGGAGTTGTGTTTCACTTCAAGCGATGAGAGTCATTGTTTTCCTGTTTACGCCTATTATCAGTCCAACTGATAATATTTGGAATTCATTTCAATTCCGAAGTGTACAGGTATAGTGAATTCAAAGCCGAATTTTCCTTTGATCCCTTTTTTGGGATGTTAATAATTGAATGCTGGTGGTGGTTGCTGTTAAATTCGTACCGTGGAAATTGCACTCACAGGCCAATCGTTGTACTTATATTGGGAAGTGATTTTCACCTCTCATTATTCCTGAGAAATGAACAGGGGTTTGTAACAAAGAGAAAAGTGGTGTATGAGATCATTTCCCTTGTATATTTGATGCCTTGGCGGCCTCGACAACATGGATTCCTCGTTTTCTTCCTCAAATGGTGGATTTTAGGTTTTGCAGATGATCTCTCTTTCTATGGCATTATTGTAGGGTAGTGTTATTTACACATTTTTTTACATCTCACACATTCTTTTTAATTTTTGTCGATTGATATTTTCCAGTTCATTTACTCTAATGGTCAAAAAAAAAAATGAGAGAGCCGGTTTGGTCTTACCGTCTTAGGTAGGCAGGATGTGCAGATAGAAACAATGGCACGTGCAAAAGGTATACGTTGGACGGTGGTGGTAGGTAAGTGGTAACGAACACGGTGATTGGAATGATGGGTACGGGCGGACCCAGTCCCAGAGGCAGGCAGAGGGAGTAGTTACTCAGTGTCCCTAATCCCTCCCTCCCTCGTCACGAAAGTCAGTCAGTCAGTCAGTCACATTGTTTTGATAGGGAAGAAGCGTTGAAACCAGAGGCATCTGTGAGTGTCTAGTGTTATTGAACTGAATGGCTGAAAAAGTACTAGTAGACAACAAGCAAGTGATATTCAAGGGGTTCGTAGAGGGAACTCCAAAGGAGACGGACTTGCAAGTGGTGGTCAGCGCCACGACTGAGCTCAAGCCTCCTAAAGGCTCCGGAGCTTTTCTGGTCAAGAATCTCTACCTCTCTTGCGACCCTTACATGAGAGGCCGTATGCGCGATTTTCGTGATTCCTATATTCCTCCATTCGTTCCTGGCCAGGTACGGTACCTACCTTACCTACCTAACAATTGTCATTTCATTTCACTCATTTTTTCAATCATTCTTAATTTGTGCTTTTCTTCCTTCCTCTTATATACACACACATAAATGAGTTAGCCAATCGAAGGATTTGGTGTGTCCAAAGTTGTGGGTTCTGATAATCCGACTTTCAAGCCTGGCGACTTGATCTCTGGGTTCACTGGATGGGAAGAATACAGTTTGATTTCTAGAACTGAGCAGTTGAGAAAAGTTACGCCAGACGGCGACATCCCTCTATCATTCCATGTGGGTCTTCTTGGTAATGTTATTCTTCTATCTCATCTTTCGATTCTTATGCCTACACTTGTTTGTAAATCAGCATATATGTATATCTCCGCTGGAGAAGAATAATATCATCAGAATATTAAACACTAGTAAATCATCTGAATATTGACCTAGAAACACCTTTGACGATATTGTTTAGATAACTTATAACCGTAAAGTGCTTCGTTATATCTAAAGTGTCATTGTAAATAGTTGAAGACCTTAGTTATGGTTATGAACTTATGAAGATTGGATTGCGCATGTACTTGTCCGGTCAATCACTGATTATGTAATGCTGACTGACTAAGCAAGAGAATTTTTTTTTAAAGAACGAACCATTCATTTTATTTTTTATTTTTTATTCCTCTGCACTAGATAATCAAGCATTAACATTTAACTAATGATAGTTTCTGGAGGGATTCTGAGTCATTTGATCACTTCTAACAACCAGCCGCAATTTCAGCATTCTAGTCATTCAGAGTCCCGCTTGTTTTCCTGGAGATTTAAGACGCTTCCATTTTTCTATTCAGTGTATGCTTTAGCTTAGAGTGTTGTATAACTGTGTCCAATTGTTCCTTTCCCCCTTAGACAGCAATGAGGGAGGATGCGAGGGACTCAAATCAACCCTGCTTCTAGACTAGTGTATTACACTATTACTGTTTTCGTTAGATTAAAAAAAATTAGTTTAAATAAAATTCTTTTGTTTAGCTCTTAAATCAGTAACCAAACAAGAATTTCTTGTTACAGGTATGCCAGGTTTTACTGCATATGCAGGATTCTACGAGGTCTGCTCCCCTAAGAAGGGGGAATGTGTTTTAGTTTCTGCTGCTTCCGGAGCTGTTGGTCAGCTTGTTGGCCAACTTGCTAAATTGCATGGCTGTTATGTTGTTGGAAGTTGTGGCTCAAGCCAAAAAGTAAGGTCTCATTTGTGTTTCTCTGTTAGTTATGTTGATAGTTTGAGACAATATATTTGAATCATATTTCATAAAATAGCGCTGACAAGAAATAGAGCTTAATTGGGACATGTTATTTGCTAGGTTGATCTTCTGAGGAATAAGCTTGGGTTTGATGAAGCTTTTAACTACAAAGAAGAGGCAGACCTGGATGCAGCTTTGAAAAGGTTAGTGATTGAGTTATGTTGTATTGAGAGTATAACCCATGTTGCGAATGTAAAACCTTCCGATACAATGATACAATGATATAAGGTTTTGGGTTGGATGCTTTACTTTTAACTTGGCATAAAATAGGCAATCCACGTATGAGCCCTCGATATAACTGATCCACATTTTTGTTCAAGCCTAGTTGCACTTGAGCTAGGGTGAGGGGGCGTGTTATGTTGAAGATGTTTACACTTGTGAACATGACGATATTTGAGACTTTGGGCCATTGTCAAATGAAGATGTTTACACTCAGTATGTTATGTTGTTACAGGTACTTTCCACAAGGCATTGACATTTACTTTGATAATGTGGGAGGGGAAATGCTTGATGCAGCAATTGTGAACATGAGAATTCATGGTCGGATTGCTCTTTGTGGAATGGTGTCTGAGAAAAACCTCTCTGATCCCCGAGGGATCCGCAATGTATTCAATCTGATATCAAAGCGTATCAGGATGCAGGGATTCCTGCAAAGTGATTACATACACTTGTACCCACGCTTCCTGGAACATGTCATTAGTTACTACAAGCAAGGGAAGATTATTTACATTGAAGACATGAATGAAGGCTTGGAAAGTGCTCCATCTGCTTTTGTAGGCTTATTTGCGGGAACAAATGTTGGTAAGCAAGTTATTCGTGTAGCCCACGAATGAATGATTCGCCTCTCTCTCTCTCTGCTGCTTGCACTGTTATAAGAGAGAGAGATGGCCAAGTTGAGGCAATTTACGTACAGCCTTGAATAATTGGATAGTTATAAATAATCTGAGTTTCTGAATGTGGTTTGTAAATTTTGTGAAGTCACCTTGCTCATGCTGGTGGCATATTGAACTTTATGTATGACAAACTGCGGAGTTTTAATCTAATGTCCTCCTTGATTTTCGATGTGATGTAACCTTAAATTGTGCTTTCACTGTAACGATTTTTAAGTTGCACATTGTGGGAGAATAGAGTCCTACATGCCATATCGAGCATACGACAAAAAATAGTACAATTTATATAGGAGATATTCCACCCTAATATCACCAAGCCATTTTGTGATAAAACTCAGGACTTAATAATATGTGGTTAAATTGAGGGCAATATCGATAATACAGGTGGTGGACTTGTATAGGCTTGAAAAGTTTATTATGATATCATAGCATGTTATTATTTCAACCTATCTTGGGCTTGATTAATTGAACAGTCTACACTTGAATTTTCTTCCTAGACAGAATGGGCCCAAGTTACGGGCTTGAACATCCTACTGAATGACTGCACATTTGAAAAGATTAGTGTTGGCTCCAAAGAGTGGATATTGACTAATTTGACCAGTTCTCGATGTAGGAATTGATTTCCCTTGTGACTATGTGGGTTTACTCGTGAGGAGACGTGTTGGAAAATAGAGTCTCGCATCAGGCATATGACAAAGTACCACACAACTTATAAATATGATTTCAACCCCTAAGATCACCTAGCATTTTTGTAATAAAATTCAACAACTAAAAATAGGTGATTTTTTTTATTTTTTTAAAACATCGATGGTACGAGGAAATTTTATTGATATGAAATAAGAAATTATATATAGTCCAGAGGAATATAAACCTTACCCCTCAGAAATTAAGAACACAAATTACAATAAAAGAGGAAGGAACATAAAACCTAACCCCTCTTAAATAATAAAATACAAAAGAAGAGAGGGAACATAAGGCTAAACCCCTTAAAACTAAACCTAGAAGGTTATAACCTGCAAAACAAGCTGCAGAACAAAGAGCCAAAATGATTGGGAAATTAAAAACACACATAAAAAAGGGGAGACAAACATGTAGGTAGGAATGCCTAAAAAATCTGAATGTAAAAAAGGAAGAGTTGCTAAGGGTGGAGCCGCATGCCAAACAAGTAAAGACGAGAGCATCCCTAAATTGACTAATTTATCGGCAACCGCATTCCCTTCTCGAAAAATATATGCAATGAAAACCTATGTGTTGCAACTGGGAAGAACAACTCTTCCAACAAATTCGTAGCTGCCAAAAAGAAGAAAAAAATGAGCTAAAAGCAAAACAAGATACCACACTAAAAATATAATTTTCAAGCCATAAATTTTTGGGAAATAGACAAAAATGATCAATTTTCTTTATCTTGGGATAGAAATAGAACAAACCGACCATGGACAAGTCATACATAATACCAAAATTACTAAAATACCCATATAAGTACTAAAAGCCCTCAACTTATTGTATTACTTTTCTCATTTGGAAGAGAAAGGATGTTGAGAGAGTTATGTGAGCTCTGGATTTGTGGGTTGAGTGACCTCCAAAATATCACTGTTGTCAAGGAGGTGTCTGCAATTCCATGGTCCAGAGCGTTGATTCAAGATTCCTCACGAAGGTAACTATCATCCCCTTCTTTCTGGATCTCTCCCACCAAATCCTAGAGATTTAGAGATTCAAACTCTTGAAATTTAATCTCACATCTACAAACAGGGTCCCTTTAAAATTTATAATAATTGTAGTCGTTGAATTAAATTTTAAGAGTCCGAATCGCCGGATCCGTAGAGGATCTCTTCCTCATCCACTATTCTCTTGGTACTGTTCCGTGAATTGTTTGGAATATAGTGCTTAGATTTTTGTGCTGTCATTTATGCATCCATGGATCTAAAATTTCATCAATGCTCATGTATATTTGTCTGTATGTGTGCATGTCTTTATTGATGGATGCATGGGAAAAATACTTGCATGAATCTGGATCTCAGTGCTGAAGTTAATAGGATTTGGTGGGAGAGATCCGGATGGGATCTCTTCCCCATCCACTCTTCTCTTGGTACTGTTCCGTGAATTGTTTGGAATACAGTGCTTAGATTTTTGTGTTGTCATTCATGCATCCATGGATCTAAAATTTCATCAATGCTCATGTATATTTGTCTCTATGTGTGCATGTCTTTATTGATGGATGCATGGGAAAAATACTTGCATGAATCCAGATCTGAGTGCTGAAGTTAATCAATGGTCTTCCTTTGTGTTGCTTGGTTCCTCCCAAACATGAATGTAATGGAATTTTTAATCAAATGTGAAGGAGATATTGACTGAGAGAAGGTTCCAAGCGAAGCAGAGGGCTTCATCAGCAACCCAACTGTGAGTATATCCCTGGACCTCTGCGTGTGCTCGTTCTGTATTCTTTGCTTGAATTTGTGTTGAATTTGACTGCCATGAATATTCTGATGAATGGGATGATGTATGTGTCGATGTGAACGGATGAATGCTCCTGAATGCATGATTCAGTCGAATAAGCGAGCTTACTGGATATTTAGGGCCGAAGTGCTTCCAAATGCAATATGCAAAAATCACACAATAAAAATTTAATTAGAATAAAACCCAACATAAAATACTGATTAACTAAAAATTGTTATTTTTGTGTTTTTCAATTTTCTGATTTGTTTGTAATTGAAATAAAAGCAAGAAAATAAAATAAACGAAAATAAGAAGAAAAAAGTTAGAAAAATTGGGTTGCCTCCCAATTAGTGTTTTAGTTAACGTTTATAGCTAGACATATTGAAATGAGGTTTGTGATCACGTCACTTGTCCTCTTAGAGTCAATTACTCCTTGATAGCATCATACGACAACAATAGGTACATAATGAGTTAATGTTTATCAGTGGTTGAATCCTTCATAATTGCCCTTCTATGTGAATGAATCTTTGTGATCAAATAGGGTCCCCTCCATCGATGCTTGTGTTTCCCTTGAATTGACTTAATACCCATAATTTCTATATAGGCTGAATGTCTTGACAAAGAATTGAGCAGCCATTAAGCTTTTTCTTCTTTCCGTTATAGAATGTAGCCTGCTCGATGGACTTGCACTTAATTTCTGCAATTATGAATGGCTTTGTTGGTGCATTGTCATGTGATTTAGCAGATTCTAACTTGGTGTGAACAACCCCTTGCAACATGTCCGTTATGATGAATTCCATCAGCTTGGTTGGTTTCTTTGCAGCCTCTTGATTGGGCATGTGTGCCATATGGACTTGAGTTAAAGCAAGTTCTGGAGAACTTTCAAGATCATCAAGGGTTGTTTCCTCCCTTGGGCGTGAATAAATGGCAAATTGCTCCTCAATTTCTGCACTAATATCCTCTTGATCATCAAAACTTTTCCCACAGTTTAATGCTTGAATATGAAATCCATGATTGATTATTTCTATGTACAACTCAGTTGATTCCAACAATTTAGAGAGTTTGTTCTCTACCAAAAGCTCATGGCACATTAGACTGCTCAAAATAGTGCTTAAGATGCTTTTGCAAACTTGGGGGTAGAACTCTGAATATGGATTGTTCCAATTTCTTTTTGAGTCATTTCTCACATTGATATGCTCTTGGACAACCCATGGAAAATATTCCCTTTCGAACACTGCAAAATATCATGGGTCTTCACATAGCAAAGTGCTCAAATTATGGGTTTAAATCCATAAAAACCCCATTTTGCATATTTGACTCATAAAGGCGGTTCTTCTAATTATATATTGAATCCAGGAAAAGGAACAAATTCCATCGTTGCACAAATTATAACTTAAAAAATAAAATAAATAAAAAGTTATATACAAAAATAATTAACTAAGAATATGATAAACACAGATTATTTAAAACAATTCCTGGCAACGGCGCCAATTTCTTGATAGGATTTTTACCACCTACAAAAGTGGGGATAAAAACACTTAAATACTTGCAAGAGTATAAAGTAATTGTAGTATAGCCGGCTCTAGCAAGATCGTTCTCCACAAAGCTTGAATGAATAATTTATGTTAACCAAATCTTAATTAATTATTTAAAAACAAAGTTTGAAAAATGGTGATTTTATGACCTAAAACATTAAAAACGAATTTAATTAAAACAATTAAATAAATTGGGAAAGTAAAGAAAACAAAAGAAAATAGTTTTGAAAATATATTTAAGCATTAGGATTCTGCCGTCACCTTAACAATCCTATATAATTCTTCCAATTACTTATACCTTATACATGCATATTTGAAGGTTAGGTTTTCCTAAAGTATATCCTACTTGGAACCTCCAACATATAATGTATATCTAACATGCAACCCGTCCATGGTGTCTAGATCGAATGTGAACATGCAAGACGCATTAAATTATGTGAAAACATTTTGAAGGACCATATAACCCTTAAGACATGTCGTCCATTCTAAAAAGTCACACATATTAATCACAAGAAGCCTTAGTCAATTCCAGGGATAGCCCTCTGTGAAAATTACATCAAATAACTTTTCTAAATATTATAATGGTGGCTAATCAGTTTCAAACACGGTGATTAATAATTCAAAACCTGCATGCATAATATCATAAGCAAATTGAAAGGAAACTACATATTCTTGCTAAGGCTCGTGGCCTAGCCCTAGCAAACAGAAATTAGTTACGAACAATCATAAAACAAAATATTAATGAAAATAGAAAAAGGATAGAAAACACCTTGAAAGAAAAACACAAATTGTCAAAGCCTAGCACAGTATTGATGCGTTTTTCCCCCTCTCCTCTCCTCTTACCTTAATGGCTAAAAAGCCTTATTTATACTACTACAAAATAAAACCCTACTTAGAAAAGGTCTTGGAATAAAACAAGGAAACATAATAAAATAATAAAACATCAAATAAAAGGTTTCCTCTTTGCACTGAAATTTGGAATTCTCAGAAAATTAGACTTTTGACCAACCAACTCAACTTCGATTTGTTTCCAAAAGGTCTCTTTTGAAAGCTTAAGTCGTTCCCAACAAAACTTTAGAAGGAATCTTCCTCAAAATATGTCATTTTGACCTCCAAAATACCCAAAATATCCAAAGGGAAAGTTGCGTGCTGGGCCTTTATTTCATTGCCACAGTCAAACGACTTAGTAGAAAAATCTTAAACTTTGGTACAATCATCTTGAAAGACTCATGGATATCCTCCAATTGGAATCACTCCAAAATTCGTCCGTTTGATAACTTTTTGCTCAAGAGGAAATCGAATGTCCTATATTGGAAATATAATTCAAAATGTCAAAATTCTCACAAAATAACCAATAAATTAACACTAAGATTAGGGTAAAATATATAGTATATTATCAACTCATCATTGAGCACATATCTATGAGCTAGGATTTCAAAGAGAGAAGTCCAAAGAGAGGTGAGAAGAGTAAGATGGGTTTTGGGTTGACCTCACATCTCTGATTTCGAATACAAGAATGTCAAGAGAGGTGAGAAGAGTGATGTCGGGGTTTTCGGGGTTTTAGATTAGATCTGTGAGTTATATGTGTTGTTCTGCCATAACTAAACACAACAATTTGTTCCATCCTTAAAGATAGGATGTTTATACCATATTTTATGTTTTGGCTAGTAAATTCCATTTTTTTCGGGCAACTGAAGCTTCGGCAGACATAGTAAGGTAGGGTGTTTAGTTCCAAGTTCCTTCATCAATGATTTAGGGAATAAATGGGTTGTTTGTAAGATGAATTAATACTTAGAAGTTAAGTTAGGGTTTGTGTTTCATGTTGGGGCCTATGAGTTGTGCAATAAATTTTAAGTTTTGACTTGCTTCAAAACTGGATGGAAAAATTTCTGGTTCAAGTGTCCAATTGCAGAAATTTATGAAAATTTTCCCGTAATGTGCATGTTGTGTGCATATGGTGTGCATGGCTACATCTTAATATGAGAAGTGAGAATGTTCACTAGTTATGATGTACGTATGTCGTGCCTTGAAATTTAGCGAGTATATCCACAACCTAGCTGGCCTTGGCAAAAAACAAAATTAAGAAAAATCTTAAAGGACGTTAAGGGTCATGCGTGTCCAAGAAATAACAACAATGAGCATCATGTTTCCACGTGTACGGTTAAGCAGTGGTTGATATACGTAACAAGACTTTTCAAACTGCCACTTTGACCTTATATACGTAACAATTATGTTTTTGTATCTACTATACCAATAGGTTGCCGTTAAAGTTTCTTATTAATTCAAAAAGAAGCTCGTTGCTCGATCTCCAATTCTATGCATATCAAGGGCATGTGGTGTGCATATAGTGTATATGGTGGTGACGCCACATGTGATGATGTCATTTTTGATTTCAAAGAGAAACCTATGAGCTGTGAGTTTTTGGGTTGGCTCAGATCTGTGAGCATATCATGTGCATGTCTTATGCATGTCGTGTGCATGTCACTGGAAAGAGGATTTTTAATGGGAATTCCAAAATCTAGGTTCAGGTCAAACATTTGTAAACTACAGATTTTTAAGGGATTTTCCAGAATCTAGGCCCCCATATATCCCTCGACACCATTAATTGCATGATGCACGTATTGATAATATACCAAATTTAGGATTTTCTTCGAACTTATAGGGATAAGGTATTCATTGGCAGAGGAGAGAGAGAGAGATTTTAGTAGAAAAAAATGGTGTCTTTACTTTTTCATAATGAATTTTCTTTGATATTTGAAAATTTTTTGGACTGTAGATTGGTTTTGACCCAAATGAGTTTTGAATGAGATTTCGAATTTAGAGAGAAGATGATTTGAGGAAGAAATTCCCAATCTGTAATCTGCAACTGCAAACACAAAAATGTGTTCATTTTCCAAAAGGACTAATTAGCAAACACAAAGAATCTCCAAATAAATCATTAAAGGGACTTATTTATTTATTTTTTCCATTCTTACAAGTTTCAACAAATTTCTATTGCAAAATTATCATTTCCAGCCAAAGCATATATAATCAAATATTCCAACTAGGTTTTTCATTATCTTTCATTAATCTAAGAACAATCAATAACTATCAATTTTAGAGAGAGTAGAGATAGAGAAATCAGAAAATGGGAGGAAATAACCCATTTAAATACAAAGGCAATTAAGTCATTTTAAGGTGTAAAAAAATTGTTCTTTTGTCATGTTGTTGTGCATGGCCTGTGCATATTCGAAAAATCTTGTTTTTGTCACAAGATTAAAAGAAGGTGTCATTTTTATCTATTTACCTAAAATTTTCTAACCTAGCGCATGAGCAAACTTCACAACAAAAACATTTGATTAATTTACCGTGCCTCCCTTTACCTCTACTTGCTCGTACCAACTACCCCTTCCAACCCATTATTGGCTTGATGAGCAAACTCCACACCAAAAACATTTGATTGGGGCTGTATTCAATTGGGATTTTGAGATATTTTAAGTCTTTTAATAAATTTAGGGGTATTCAATTAAGATTTTAAGTGATCATCTTAAATTCAACTTGACACACCCCGACCAAGACCAGGGCATGCTGGCCGTCACGTGGAAGTGACGTAACCATGTGCATAGTGCGGAAGCTAATAAAATAATAATAAAAGTATGAATAAATAAAAACCAGCTATACACAATGTAAGAACATACATGTGCAAGCGTAAGTGTGAAAACAAGGTTCAGAGCACGAAGACCTAATGCAGTCCGGGAGAAACAACGCTACAAAACACACCCAAAGGTGGTCCTACAATGGTGATAATCTGTCAGATATGCCGGGGAAATCCTCTGGAGAGCCACCAAAAGTGCTAGCCAACTAGAACCTGGAGGGGCGCAAAACAGAAAGTGTGAGTGGGCAAAAACAAAGTTTTTCAAAACCATTTTATAAACAAAGTTCTAACCCCTCGCCGTAAAACCTGTATACTTCCCAGAAAAATAGGATATATACATATATATAAATCATGCTCGGAAATATGTCATGTTAAAGGTCTTTAAATAGAATGCAAGTGCTCAGGAATGTCAAATCAATGCCATGTAATTTGTCAGACGGAGTCACCTAACGTAACCTGTACGGCTGAATCTAGAGCTCAAATCTCCAACTCACTAACTATACCTGCACACGAGTCGGAACCACCTAGAGTGGTCTGTACGACAGGACTAGGTGTATAATAAGTGCGCTCAAGTGCTACGATCACGTGAAGGCTGGGCGAATAATCGCGGGTCACCTACGAGTCGGAACCACCTAAAGTGGTCTGTACGACAGGACTGTGCACCTAACTTGGATCCAAGATGAGCGTGTGGTGCGGGAGGTGAACATCACGTGAAGGACTGTGCCCGACTTTGGGCGGGAGCACTAACACCGGGGGTGCAGGTTATGAGCTCTCTATGCATCTCAAATCACTACTGAATATGAATATAACCATAACTTACCTGACTCTTACCTGTGCGTCCGCAGCACCAACATACAAATATATATATGCTACTAATAATGCATAAACAAACGACAAACATAATGCATGGCATATAAATGTATAAACGTTTCCATTCACTTTCTGGGAAAAACGTAAGTATATAGGTATATACGGAAAACCAAAAGCCCACTCACTAGTATGTAGAAGGGTCGTAACCCCTTTGCCTCGAGTGACCGCTCTCGTCCTCGGGATAGGTCTCACCTATATGCGAAACAACTATAAAAACGTTAATTTTAAAACACATAACCAACATCACGAAATAACTTCTCATACAATGCTCAAATGGGGTGTATGAATACACCAACGTGATCTACTCAACCTCAGGAACATCTCCATATTTTTAGAAAAATTTTCCGACGCCGCACGCGCCGCCCACGCACAGGCACGTGCCTGGCACACTGACGGCGTCAGTTAACGCCGTCAGGAATATTCCTTTAAATCTAACTGATGCCGTTAGGAATATTCCGTCCAAACTGACGGAATATTCCGTCCAAACTGACGGAATATTCCGTCATCTTCTCCGGCCAAACTCCGGCGCCGTCGCCAGCGCCGGAAAACCGGGAAAACTTTAAAACCTTGTATCTTCTTCGTTTTTCAACCAAATTTCACAAAATTGGTACCAAAATGAATCTTACAACAAGAGGAACAAATCCATACCACTTCCAAGCACTAAAACCCACGGAATCTCACCGGGAAAACACCACCAACTCCGGCCAAGCTTGAAACTCACAATCCCGACGTCCAAAACCTTCAAACGAAGCACCCCGAGCCTCCTAAGGACCTCACCAAGCTTCCTACAAGCTTGAAATTCCCAAAAACACAAGAATTAACGTGTGCATGAACAGTGACAAAATCGGGGTATCCCGAGTTCGACGTGAAAACAAAGGTATCCTTACCTGAAATGGGTATGGTTGAACTCCTACGGACCTCACGAGCACGAATATATAATTTGTTTCCTCGATTTGTGGAGGTTTCAATGGTTTTTGGGTGTGTCCGTACATATGGGGATAGAAATGGGAGAGAGAGGGAAATGGACAGGGATACGGGACAGGGAAAAGGGTGAGGGGGTGTGGGAGAGTGTGTGTGGTCCAAAACTAGCCAAACAAAATCCAAAAACAACCACACAACGAAACAAACATGATAGGGGCAAAATCATCATTTCACCCCTACGGTTCGAAAAGTCCGGGACGGGCTGTCACACGACTTGTATTCAATTAGGATTTTAATGCAGTTTATTAAAATCCTTATAAATTGGGTGTATTCAATTAGAATTTTAAAGAAGTTTATAATATTTCAGGTGTATTCAGTTAGAAATTGATTTTAAAGAATTTAAAAAAGTTGAGGAATTAGAGAGATTTCTTAGTGTATTTTAAGTATTAACAAATCTCACATCTCCCATGAGATTTTGAGGGAATTGAATCATAATTTTTATTTAAATTTCTACAAAGCAATTAAACTCTATAAAAAATTATAAATCCATTAAAATTTCTCAAATTTCTAATTGAAAATGCCCCTAAACACTATGTTTGGAGGAATTTTAAAATGACAAAAATTGAAATGACAAGATTTTATTTTTTAGAATTTGTGAAATTTGTTGTTTGGTTAACCTAAAAGAATAGTGAAATTGAATGCAAAATTTGTTATTTTAAAATTTTTAATCATAGAAATTAGGAAATGACATTTATTTATATAGAATTTAAACTTGAGAATTGAAGGTATCAAATTTCAAGTATTTTTTTTCTACGCAAAAAATGTTTATGAATTCAAATAAGAGAATTATTGTATGTCAATTTATAAGTTTTGACATTTACTTAAATTCTAAATTTATTTTCACCGTCAAACATGGTGTAAATTTAAGACGGTAAAGTCATTTCGAGCGAGAGAAAATGTTGTTCCACGTACTTTCGTTTTTGGTTCTCCACGCGATTTGATCCCCAAAATCCAAAATCCAAAATCCAAAATCCAAAATCCAAAATCCATCACCAAAGGTGCACCAACCCACACCATAACATAACCAAGTTCGAAAATCCAGAGGCGCTACCTCTCTTCTGTTCCACATAGTCTCTCTCCATAAACGCTTCGACTCGGTCCGATCTCTGACTCACTGGGTCAAACTCAGTCCTTGGCACCTTTGCGAATCCAACTCCAAGCTGTATAATTTTGTCTATGTATCTACACAGCGTCGTTTTACGACGCCTGGGTTTCAAAGTTCCAACTCCAATTTAGCTACGCTTCGTCAACTCCAACTACGTTCCTGTATCTCTTTCTCCCAAAGCTCCAAATTCTTGGCCAAATAGTCGCGGATGATAAGTGTTGGGCTTTCTGAAAGGGTAGAATAGCGCTATGGCTTGTTAGGGTTTTCTTGTTTGTTAATTTGGGATTTTCCTAAATCCTCACTGTTAGGTTGAGGAGACGATTGCAAGTTTTTAGGTTTTGGAGGTTAAGTCTTGTCATGTATATTTAGTATTTTTCCTTTTGATGTTCTTAACTCTGGGTTGGCTGGCGTAAAAATTGGGGGTTCGCTTCGCCTGTACCTGTATAGAAAGCTGGTGAGAAGGAAAAAAAAAGCAGAGAGAAATGTTTTATTCTCAGTTTATATTGGCCAAGAAAGGTCCTCTTGGAACGATATGGATAGCGGCACATTTGGAGCGCAAGCTTCGCAAGAATCAGGTCGCCGACACCGATATTGGCGTCTCCGTAGGTCAGTTCTCATTTTTTTTACCTTCTGTGCGCCATGTTTTTATGATTTCTTCTCTCGAGAAAATATAGGAAAATGATAGCAGCAATTTTTCAGCTTGAATTATGAATTGGTTGAATTTTTTAAACGCTGGAAAAATTTTCCTTCAAAAGAAACAGAAATAATACAACTACAACAGTGGAAACCAAATGTACAGATAGCAATACATTGATTACAGAACAGCTAACCTGAAGAAAATATAATCTGCATGAATAAAGAAAATTTTGTTTGTCCCTAGATTTAGAAATAATAAAGCCTACAAGAATGCTCCAAATGTGTTTATCCGCTAGGAACTACACATCCTCCCACACTTTTTTTTTTTGATAAATCATTGTTTTCTTTCAAATTTTAATCCAAACCACCAAACAATAGCCACAAAACTGTATTCCATGAACTGCCATAATTGAGAAAGAGACGAAGTTTAATTTACACAAGTGGACAAGATGTCCACAACGAAAAACAAAATGCAAAATCGAGACAACAAATAAAGTCCCTCTGAATTTGAAACAGTCACGAAAACTCTATAAGGCTAACTATTGCGCCTTTCCGATCAAGCCAAATAACTCAGAAGGATAAATCTTTATATTTTGTAGAAACCTAAGCCCATAGCGAAAACCTTAAGCAAACTTCATCCCATAACTTCTCTCCTCTACTGCCTGCAAAATCCTCATATATTATCCTATTTCTTTCCATCCATATTACCTAGAACATAACCAAACCTCTGCAGGGAAATTTTGCTTCGCTGACATAAAAGAGGAACAATCTCTGGATACAACCCAATTAATTGCGAACTCCCTAAACAAATGCAGACATAGATTAAAAGCCTCTGGACTGCGTAAAAAGATGCAATCAGCAGATTATAGACAATTCTTGCAAAGGATACACCACTAAGAGCATATGTAAGAACTGGGTCCTCTTTTTTGAAGCATGTCGCAAGTGTTAACCTTCCTATGAGCCCCTATCTAAGTAAAGACTTTCACTTTACGGGGCTCTTTAGATTTTCCAAAACAAACCATAAGGTTGAAGAGCCATATCTGCATTCATTTTTAGCAAAAAGCAGCAATAAAATTTCATGCAAAAGCTACCCAATGAATCAAGACACCATTTCCCATTGGGGGGGGGGGGATATAATACAAAATTAGGCATTGTTTTTGCATGGTATCACAATATGCCTGCCCATTTCGGAACTCGTTTACTCTTTCTGGATTTCGATCTAGTAGAGGATGACCACTAGGATTAATACTTAGAAGAAGAAAACCTAACATAAACCCCTTGATAACATAGGGCATTTTGAGATGCACAGCTTTTCAGTACAAAAAGGACAATGTTTAGCTACTTTAACATTTCAAATCACGGGAGGATGATTAACCATTGGAAGGTGGCTCATCACTTAACTTGCTGAAATAACACTTGCACAAGACCAAGTGTCTCACCTCTAAGTTTCCAAGACCTTCTGTTGGATCTAGCAGATTGTAAGGATATCTTTTTCTGTCAAAGGGACCCTACGAAATTTATGAAATCAACCCATGGAAAAGAAAACCAACCTACACTGCCATGGATACATTATGAGAGGACCATACTCTATTTTAATCTATAAAGACGAGGAAATGATTTGCACAACCCAATATTAGGAAATATGAACTAATGCGGTCTGAAATGACTATCCAAGGACAACGATGGGAGTGATGTAGAACGCGTAACCAGAAATTAGGGTTTGGAGCTAGATAACAGAAAAGGGATAGGCCGAAGAGAATTTAGAAGAATCAGACAGAGGATTAGAATAGACTCTGGAGAAGAAGATCAAGATAGAATAAAGATTTAGAGAAAAGAAGATAAACAGGGAGAAAATCCTTTTAATCAATCATTCAAGCCTACCAATATTGAATTACAAAGCAGCTATTTATAATAACGTAATCATACAACAAACAGGAAAGAATTGTAAATCTACAAGAAGTAGAACAAAGCACCTATTTATAATAACCTAATCATACAACAAACAGGAAAGATTGTAAATCTACAAGAAGTAGGAAAATAATTTTAATTCCATAATAAATAGGAATATAGATGATATAGGAAACTAAATAATAATATCCTTGATATTATTCTACAGGGAGCCATTAACCACAATGTTATTATCCCATAGTATTGACATATAATCCGTATTTGTGTGTAATCACATCATACCTAAAGGAGTTAAATTTGAAAGGGAATCTCCACAAACATTTCCAAGAAGAGCTGCGTTTTCTTCTTCTTTTCTGAATTTCCTTCCCCAGTTATTTTTATTATTAATTCACTAGAAAACAGATCTTCTTTAAAAGAGCAGGTGGTGGACAGTGCAGTGGATAAGATATCCACTGGGCTAAGAAACCTAAAAACTGAATACACTCACCGAATGCATCAACAGATGTGGCAAAGCTACTTATCCATGAGTTCTAAAGAAACTGAAAGCTGTAATGATGCCCAGAAGTGTACCTGATGCAGAATAGACCAGGATTATTTTAATTTAGGGTTTTCTAGTTCTCAAATATTTTTACTTATGCGTTAACCTTGCTTATGCTCGTGGTATAATTATCTCAGGGTTTTCAAAGCTAGATGTCTTAGTAATTTAGTTACACAGGGCTTCTTATTTGGTTTTTGTTCTATAAATTAAGGCTTTGTAATTCATCAGACAGACTTGATTTATGGTGCATCATGCATGTCATAATGTATGGTTATGGTGTAATTGTATCAGTAGTTATTGCTTTCAATCTTTTACTGTTTCTAATTAAATGTTTCATTCTTCTCCGCCAAAAAAAAAATTCAAGAAAAAGAAAATTTCTTTTAAGTGCAGAGCACTTTTAGTTAATTCATTCATTTAAATTCTTTTAGATCTTATTCTTGCATTAAATTTCATGGGGCATGTAGTTGCACTCAGTAAGCTCAGTTGTTTTTCAATTTGTAGTCTCTCTCTCTCTCTCTCTCTCTCTCTCTCTCTCTCTCTCTCTTAATGTCCAATTCATCTATCCACTCATGTAACTTTGATGATCTATCTTTGGTTACAGATTCTATTCTTTTTCCTGAAGTTCCGATTGCTCTCCGGTTGTCCAGCCATCTTCTGCTTGGTGTGGTGAGGATATATTCTAGAAAGGTGAATTACCTGTTTGATGATTGTAGCGAGGCTTTGCTTAAGATAAAGCAAGCTTTTCGCTCCACTGCAGTCGATTTACCTCCAGAAGAATCTACTGCTCCATATCATTCCATAACCTTGCCTGAGACTTTTGATCTTGATGATTTTGAGCTACCAGATAATGAAAATTTTCAGGGGTTAGTATGTTCAATTATGTTTAGGACTAAAGCGTTCGCTGCAGAGATGCTGGATACAAAGATTTGTATTTGTGTTGGTTTAACATTTAGTTGTTTTGCAGTAACTATGTTGACCATCATGTCAGTACAAGGGAGCAAATAACTCTCCAAGATACAATGGAGGGTGTGGTTTACTCAACATCTCAATTTGGATTGGATGGTTAGTACTCATCAATTCACTGTCATGAGTGAATGATTGTACATTGAATTAAATTTTATGGTTAGGATAAAACTTAACGATGTTTATGTACGAGCTAACTTAAATGTCCAATATTTCCTGGTTTATTTTCAGAGCGGTTTGGTGATGGCGATACTTCTCAAATTGGTTTGGAATTTGATGAGGTAATATTTTGTTCCTGCTTTGTAGTATTAACTTTTAAGTGGAAGAATTTGGTAATGGACTGGATAGTTGAATAGTATGGAATTACAAGACTTCCTTTCCTTTGCATACATGGAAATTTTGTCTTTTTTCCTCTTTATGCATGGTTTACTTAAACTTTGTGTTGTTGCAGTGAAATTATGGCTTGCCACTGCTTTTATTGATTTGTTACTACGGTTTCGCTAATTGATTGTTATAGGGTTTGGCATTACCCCTGTCACTCACCGACTAAAACAAAAGCCTTCTTAGAATGCTTCAAGTTGGTTGGAGTGGCTAAAGTTCACATGTGCAAGCTCTTATATTCTCATATGGGCTTGGACAAAGTAAAAAGCGGGCTAGTGGGTTTTTACTGACTGTTGTATATAATTTATAACCACTTCAAGAAACCATACGTGCCCGTCTCTCTAACGTCTTTGTTTAAATCTCTTATATAATCACAAAGCTAGCTTGGGCTGATTTTCAATTGTAGGGTTTCACCAATTTTTAATGTCTTCAAATCCTTTGGGCTATGTGTAGCTTTCATTGTTTTTTTGGGTGCTCTTTGGTGTTATGTGTTGCTTATGCAAGAATATAGTGGCTTAACTGTGATATATTTGTCATTTACCTTGTTTATGGCGGCTTTTTTTCCGTACCTCACTAATATAATCTTTATGTTTCCTACAATACAAAACTATTATATCACGTATGTATATATGTCACTTATAGATGCTATTGTTTTTTGAATGATGGAAAACAGGACCTGTTTTTTGGCAAGGTTTCAGCTCAAGGGAATGATGGAATTTCAGAGTAAACTCTATATCTCAAAAGTGTCAAGCATGGGTTTCAATTTTAATTCTTTCACACATTGTTTGATTGCACAAAGAGGATTCTATAAGTTAGAATTAGAGCATCTCAACTTCTTTGCTGGAATCTGAAAATAAAAAAAAAAAAAAAAATTTCTTTGCTGGATTGTTTAGACCTATGTTTCTACCTCTTTTCAAGTAAACAAAGCTTCTGCTTTCACCCATCTTCTTTTTGACCACCATATCCTTAAAATTAATTATATATGGAAAAAGTAATAATCGTGGGTTTGGATAAGGTAAACTTGAAGTATCCAATAAATTTTAAATCACAGGATTTGAGACTACAAATTTGAAGTGTTAGGATTTGTAGATTCTCATGTTTTAGCTCCAATTTTCATGGTAAAGTTGAACGCTGAAATTTATAATTTATCCGTATGGAATTCAATAATCTGTAAGTATGAATGGTGGTGATGGTGGTGATTTATTATTTTAATTTTTCAGCAAAGTATATTTTTTTCCCCGTCATTAAACTGCAGAAGAAAAATGTGAGTGGTATGCTGTTATCTACTTAATAATAAAGTTGGGTTTTTTTGCCCTCAATGCATTTATTTGTTTCTTTGGATTTTTTTTCATGTTGATGAGGTTGGTCCCTGTTAGGCGGTGTTGTGTATGGTTGTGTGGTTTCTTTATTTCTTTGATCCATGGAATCACTTAGGACACTACAACTTTTCTGATGTACCCTATTCATTCTCTACTATTTCAGTGGTGATCCTCAGACATTGGGCCAATCAGTAACACCTTTGGAAAAGCATGATATGTATGAGGGGATACCTGAAACCTCAGAAACCATGCAAATGAATGGGATTGAAAGCCAGGTTTATTAATACCACCCAAAAGCTTATTTTCTTCTGTTTTAAGTCTTGTCCTAATTATTCGTCATTTGCGATGTGTAAGCAAGGTTCTATTCTGTTTCTTTTTTCGTTGTTATTGAGGGGTGGACGGAGGTGCGATTCATGCAATATTATGTATAATACAATTCTTGCCTCAGTGACGAATATTTTTTTTATCCCTTTTGAACAGAATGAAGTCCTGGCTGCAAATACTGATTTTGTCACATATGCTCAGGCTCCATCAACTCCTGGACTATTTGAAGAGCCAAATCTGTTTGCTGTTCAGGAACCTATGGCCTGCAATGATCAGTTCGATTTTGAAGACCATAATTTATCAAACTTAGCATCCATGGGCAACTCAGAAAATGCTGGTAGTATGTCAGGTCCACGTTGTGGGGATGATAGTACCAAGGAGAATGGCTATCATTTGGGCGATATAGAGATCAAACAAGCAAGGCCACAGGAGCATGACCAAATTAAACCTTTTTCTGCAGTATTGGAATGTTCAAAGGGGACAGTTGGTGCATTGGATGGCCGAAACAGGGTGGAAGATATACATAATGGTATTGTGATAAACAATGAACCACTTATGCCCTGCCTAGATCAAAAGGATGACCAACATGTAGAACCTGCTGGAGTTAGGTTGGATGAAACTGATGCATCTCCTAGCTGCTCCCAGGTCACATCTGAGTTGGACGACCCTTCTCGTAAGATTTGTTCAAGTAGTAACTTTCCGAGAGTATCAGAGGATTATTTGGAGGATCAACAGACATATTTAAAGCCTGAAATACAGAATGATGTTGAAATTGCTAATAATATGGGAGAATCATGCACACCTATCATTACAGATCCTTTGAAGCCTGTTACGTATGAAGACACAGCAGCTGCTGAAGTGCCTGTGCTCCGGGCATGCAGCTCCCTCCCAAGTCATCATGATATACCATCTCCTACCGATAAAATTTCGGAAGTCCCTTGCAACTTACCATCTGAGGTTGTAGGGCCAAGTTCATTGGACAATGCAACATCTTTGGAGACTCAATTGGAGAACTTGGATAGATCTGCCACTTCGAACTTGCCTGCACCTGAAAAGTTGCTCTCTGTACCAGAGGGGTTCACTTCTAAACCAAGTGATTTTATAGTAGAAACCACGCCTGAAAAAGAAGTCATAGTTGGGGATGCCGGTGATGGTGATGGGATTAAATTCATATCAGGGAAAAAACGTAGTTCCACAGAAAGTACAATGACAGTGCAGAGTTTAAATTCAGTTGAATCATTTGGGGTGGCCCGAGAAGAGAGAACTGCAGAATCTATCCCTGATGATGATGATTTATTGTCTTCTATTTTAGGTATCAAATGGATTCTTTCTTTATGCCATCAGAAATTTCTACATGTCATTTTGTGTTGATAGATCATTCTGGCATTTATCTTTTTTCTATTTTGTCCCTGAATCTTTGTTTGATAGAGTTATAAGGCTTATATGATGAAGACTGAACTAAATTTTTTTGTTGCTTCAGTTGGAAGAAGGTCTTCAGTTCTAAAAATGAAACCCACTCCGCCTGCACTTGAAATAATGTGCACAAAACGCTCAAGAACTGCTGTCCGTGGTACCTCTTCAAAGAGGAAAGTGCTAATGGATGATACAATGGTTTTGCATGGCGAGTATGTGATAACGGACACCAACTAATTTTGATCAAGCATAAGAAAAGTGCTTCCTTTTGAAAATAATGTTTTCTTGTTTTAAGACTATAAAAAGCCTATACTACTAAATTTGTATAATTGACATCTTAGCTGCATATAGAAGCTAATTTGTTTTTTTGGTTTTTTGGGGGTGGGGTGGGGGGGGGGGGGGGGCGCTGTTTTTCCATGAGAATTTGGCATTTTGTTCCTTAAAAGTATATTGTTCGGTAGTTGTAGCAGAGTGGGACCTGACTGACTAGTAATTTACTTTAGATATACTTTAGATACTCTGTAAATTTTTGAAATGAAAATAAACATACTAAGCATGCTAGGCCTATCTGATTGTATGAGTTGTTGCATACTACATTATTCTCTCTCTCTCTCTTAATGCTAACTACTTGCCTGCTGGTTTTCTGAAGTCAAATACGCCAGCAGTTGACAAATACTGAAGACATACGTCGTGTGCGAAAAAAGGCTCCTTGTACTTGCCCAGAAATTTCAATGATTCAGCGACAATTTTTGGAAGATGCAATTTTCACTGAACCCATATTTACTGGTAAGTTAAATATCATTAGATGTGCATGGATACAATTACTGCCTATCATTTATTGGTTTATTTAGGAATACTGGTAGCCATGTGAATGATTAATATACTTCGCAAAATCTTTACAAGCCGCCTGAATTCGTTTGATGTTTGTCAGGCATGTCGGCGGAACTGATGTATCTGCACACTGAAGCATTTGATCTGAGCACAACCCGGGTTTCTGAAAATGATCAAAACAATGCTTCTATGGAGCCATTGAAGGATGTAGCATCCTCTCTGGAATCAAATGCTACTAAAGAAATTGAACCCCTTCGAAGCACTGAACCTTTAATAGTGAGAGATGACACAGCAGCACAGCCTGCTGACATTGAGAACGAAAACCAGAAGGAAGATCATAACCTAAAGTCTCACCATACTGATGCTGAAGAACAAAGGATCAGTGACTTGGAAGAACTTAATACTTCCAAACATGAACACTTGGGAGAGATAGCTGAAATGGAAATTGACAAAGAAAATTTTGAAGTTGCTGATCCTGTTTTAGAAGATATTTACAAGGTGTCAGCTGATGTTAACGTCCAGTCAAGGCTTGTGGATAAAACTGAGGACGAAAATGCGTCACTGCAGATCAATGCATTATGCGGGTCACTGGACAATAAGTTGGACGCCCAACCCATGGAGGTGGACGCATTGATAGTGGAGTCAAGTATCCAGAAAGAAGTTGATGCCATTGAAGTTGTTGACCGCAGTGTCGAAATCAGAGCGGATGTTCAGATAGGTGCATCTGAACTTATTGACAGTGTAGATGTTACGCTTGCAACTGGGGAATGCAAAAACCTTAGTTTTTCAACTGATCAATCTGTGGGAGAAATTGAAAACAGCGAGCAACATCCTGTGAATGAAACTGAGGTCCTGGAGGCAAACTTGCATTGTGATGACAACCCAAACTCTTATTGTATTCATGGTGAAGACAACGAGAATGCTTCCTGGAATGGTAAGGAAAATCTAGGTTGCCGGGAGGTTGGTCCACATAGCGGTATTGATGCAGAAGTCACTGCAGACCCCCCTCCAGAAGATCGTGGTGTAAGTTGTTAACATTCTTTCTTGTTGATTCTGAAAATAATTTGGAATGTCTCTTACATAAAAAAAAGAGTTATTTTGAATGTAAGCCTTTAAAAAGGAAAAAGGAAACCCAATGCATGTGTTTTTTTTTTTTTTTTTTTTTCTTGGGGACAAAAACATTTTATTCACATGTACGTATATATTTGGCTTTGTTTAATTGTTACGATGGTACACCCTCATGCCGGTGATGCCCTATTTCCGTTAGAACTAAATAAAACCTTTATTCTTCAAACAAGTATTTACTCCATTCCCTTGCCTGTCAAAACTACTTTCCCGGCCATCCTTTTCATTTTATGATTGCCATATTTTACCCCGGATTCTTTGAGAATTGTTTGATTTAAGTTCCCTAATAATGACTAGAAAAAGATGAAGTGACATTGTAATGCTGTTCCTAAACTATTTATGTTTTTGCCTCACGGATAGGCATTATCTTCTGGAAACAGGGCTCTTTTCTGCATCATGTCATTTTGTTTTATAGGCATTCTCTCTGTAAAGTTCAATATGTGTTTTTAACTTCACATTTTGGCTATATTGTGCAGGATTATGAAGATGTAGCTTTCGGAGATGATACAGGTTGACCTTTTCTTCTTCCTGCCTTCTTGACTTCTTATTTATATCTCTTGGCCTGTCTTTTTTCTTATGTATCCTGCTTAGAACCTATTAGTATGAAGATTTGGTGTACACGGACTATCCACATTACACAGAACTATTTATGCATTTATGAATGTACTCTTTGTACGTTTTAGGCCCTTCCAAACTCCTTTCTCAACTTTGTTGGACTTTAGCTACAACTAAATGCTGTGATACACCAAAAGGATAAATGAAGATTTGTCTGTGCATGCATAATTGATGACTATGTGCTTTCTTATTCTAGTGTCTACACATCTATTTTAAGTAAAATACTCTTTTGCCCCTGCACTTATGTGCTGGAGTTCCTTTGAATAACATATTTTATTGTTGTTCTCAGAATTTTTGAATGTAGATGATGATGAAATAGCTGAAGATGTCGATGAAATGCCATGCGCTGGAGATACTCGTCTTCTTGAGAATAGTGGATGGTCTTCCCGCACCAGGTATGTGTGCTTAATATGGTCAGTTCCATGTTTAATTCGTGCTGCTAATTTCATTTTATTGTAAGTCAGTGGAATTACTTTTTCTGGTTTGCATGACCTCATTGAAGGTGATACTGACAAGTTTATGTTTTGAAGCCTTACAATATGAAATAATTTGCTATGTTTTGATTTAAGAATTTTTAAATGGAAAAACCCTAAACCCTCTCTCTCTCCACTTTGAGAAAATGGTTGTGTACTTGTAAATAGGTGTTTTTCATAATTCCTATGCTATACAATTCCTTTAGTCACCGTTCCTAAGTTAAAATTGCTGATGGTTCTTTTGTGATGATGATTGTCAATTATTTGTTATCATTCTGATATCAGTTTTCTATTATTATTAAGACCCGACTCTTGATTTTCTTATAGGGCTGTTGCCAAGTATCTCCAGACTTTACTTTATAAGGAACCTGTGCATGGGAAAAAGGTTCTTGGGATGGACAGTTTATTAAATGGTAAAACTCGAAAGGAAGCATCAAGGATGTTTTTTGAAACATTGGTAAGTGTTATAATTGAATGTTATGTTGAGGTTTTCTTATATCTGGGTGATCTGCTAAATTAGTCAGAAGACTTAATGAGGATGTAGTGTGTTCTCTCTCTCTCTCTCTCTCTCTCTCTCTCTCTCTCTCTCTCTCTCTGTCTCTATATATATATATATATATATATATGCATATATAGAATGTAGTACAATGTTGGGAACTCCAAAAGCATGTCCTGAAAGAGTTAAAGCAAAAACTTTGAAGATAGGTTACAGCAGCAGCAATTCATGAGGCAACCTCTTATGTAACATCATTAATTTTACAAGAGAAGGAAGATATTAACTACCAATGCAAGGCTTTAAGCTTTTAATTTTGATCTTTTATTATATGTATTCTAGAAAAATATTTGGGAAATAATTTCCTGTCTAACTAGTTTAGGCCCATTTGATAAAACTTTGTTTTTAGTTTATTTTTGTGCTAGAGATAGAGAGAGAGAGAGCATATGGGGGAAAAGAGGGACAAAGGGTGATAGGTGGGAGGAGGGAGAAATGAAGGATAATGTATGAAACAAAAACTTGAAAGGGAAAACAACTTAGATCCGTGTTCAGTTTATAGGTTTTTAGGGAGAAGAACTTAGAACTGTGTACCATACCCTATGCATTTGTTCCACAACCCTCTCACCATTCTTCCTCGGTGCCTCATCATCTCATTTATCCCATGTAAAGACTACTAAAATAGGGTTTTAGTAGCCATTAAGTTTAATACTCTGTTTTGGTTTACTTTAGCCTACTTGTCCAAATTGTGGGTGTGTAGTTTGAAATGCTTAATAATCTTTCACTCGTGGTTCTACTCACTCTTTTGCAGGTGCTTAAGACAAGGGATTACATCCATGTGGAACAGGCAAAGCCTTTTGACAACGTCTACATAGGACCTCAAGTAAAACTCATGAAATCAGAGTTCTAATATCTTACATAGGAAAGGCAGATATTGTTGAAAAGGCTTTACAATTTAGTTTGTCTGATGCTCGATTGAAAATTGGGAATATTCTTTTCCTTCACTAGGTATTTTCTCACAAGAATCTTTTTTGTTCTTAAAATATTGGTTCCTTCCCTTAGGCTAGGATTTAAGCTCGCGTTAGGTTGTGCAGTTGGTAGTTTATCGTCGTGGGGTGGGGGGTGATTGAGGAGGGACACTTCTTGTTTATTGTAGCGACAAAGTTGTAATGTGGATCATATCAGTATGATGTATATATTTCTGTAGTCTAGTATCATTTGTAATCGAAGGTGATAGTATTTCCTTGTTTGTTAGGGCCCAAAAATTTCATGCAAGGCCCAAGAGGATGAAGGCCTAAACATCCTATAAGGCCATACAATTTTATGCTATTTCCGTTTATTTTGTACGTATTTATCTAAACAATTAGTAGTTGTTGGAGCAGATTTTGACCTGTCTTGGAGTGAAACCTGCATAGGCCAAAGACAAGGAAACACCATGAGTCCAAGCGCTCGGCGCGCGTGTGCGGGGGTGGGGGGCCGGGGGGGGGAGGGGTGTGTGTTGGTGGTTCTCGACGTGGAGGCTTTGATGCCTAAGTCTGGGGTGTTCTGGGTTTAACTATGGTGAAGGCCATGAGGTATATTTATAGGCACTCTACAGAGTCAATTCGCGTCACCCGACATTCTCCTTCGTGGTCGGGAATAAAGGGTACGACGAGGAGATCATTTTGACATACAGACGCCACGTCGGAGGACACATTGTTTCTTTTTCATCGTGGGCGGGAGTCGCTTGATACATCACGTGGTCCAGAAGGTACTGTAGAAGCTAGCCTTTGCAACGTAGTAGTTGGATAGCTAGCAGCGGCTTTACTCCGGATTGGCTTGGGTCACTCCAAGGGTAAGTCAGTCGCATTTAGTCATACCTGGAACCACCTGGTTAGATCGGTCCCTTCCGGGGGTAGGCTTAGCCTTTAATTTATTCCAGGTCGCACCCGACGGTGAGAGCTTATGTTATGTCCACTCTGGAAAGGTGATAATTTGGGGTCTTACAATTGCCTTTAACTATCTTTCCCAAGTCTATTGGAGGTATAGTTACATCCATTCGAGGTACTTGTTTCTGGAGTAATATTTGATATTTGAACCTTCTTGTCGAGCTCTCCGCCAAGGCGTTGCCTCGAGCTAAGGGTGTGTGCTTGTTTATCTTTGGAGTGGTGCGAATGGCGTTTGGATGTTTTCTTGGAGTAGGTTCTTCGCCTTACCCCTGACCTTTTGTTGTTCATGTTGCCTTTCTCTGCGAGTAACTGGCGAAGTGACCGTTGAAGAGAGATGAAAATGCGTGATCTTAACAATTAATGCAAAGGGTCATGCCTTTCTGTGCACGACGCTCAAGGTTTGCTTTTTGATAGTTTTGGCGTGTGAGAGATGTTGAGCGACACCTCGTTCCTTGATGGCCATCATTGATATGTCGTCGTATGTGGATGGCGAGGTGTGAAGATCGCATGGGTTTTCAACAATTGTCCATTGCCTTTTCGAATTGCCACGTATCGAGATACGACTTTTCGCCTGAGGATGTATGTCTTTTTGAATGGCCTACGTCTCGGGGTATTTATACCCCTTGATTCATCCGTTTTCGTTTTCTTTCCATCTTCTTAGAGATTTAAGACTTTGCTTTTAAGAGATGAAAACCCTTATTTCATTATCCTTATTTTCCTTGCATCATTTCCTTCTTCTTTTATTCCTCTCAAATCTCTTCCCTTGTTATTTCGCATTTATTCATTCTGCCATGGACGTCATAGACTTCAGGTCCTTGATGCTTATCAAGGGAGGTCTCAGATCTAATTAACCTATCTCCAGCAAGTCATTGTGCAATTGTCGTATGCCCTCGTCCATAAACAACGAGGGTGATCTTAAGGTGTTTGTAGAGTTGCACCGTGATGTGCTGGGGGGTTGTCGCCTAAGACTGGAGGCCCATAGGGTGAACGTGTTCACTAACCTGCCCGAAGGCAAGAAGGTGACCCGGCCCGTGGTATTTAAGTCTGGGTCTTCAATTCCCCAAGTCTGGCTTCATCAAAGAGGTATTGGCCCATTATCAGCTTGTCCCAATCAATCTTACCTTTATCGACTGTAGGGTCATGTATGCTTTTGAGCGTTTGAATAGGATTTATGAAGCCGGGTTGGGCTTTCCTGAGTTCCGGGCTTTGTATCTTCTAAAAAGTATTTCTGCAAGTCTGAGATACTTTTATTAAAGTTGTCATGCTAGACGTTGGAATCAGACTTGGATTAGTAATCTGCCTAACAAAGACAAGGACTACGACCGTTACAGACTCTAAGCTGTAGGGAATTGGGAGGGTGACATAAGTGGCCCTCACATTCTCATGATACTTGCTGCCTCATCTACCATCTTTAATCCTACTCGCTTCGTCAGAGTTGTGAGAGTGCATCTGACCGATCGCGTCTTCACTGTCATTCCTGACATTCATAGGGATTGGTCTTCGAACCTCGAGGCTTTCAAACGCATCCAAACAATTGGTATGGTATCCGATTGATAAAAACCATAGATTCGCGTCGCCTACTTGCTGAAAGCACAAATAGAATTGCCGATCATTCATTGTATGAAGTTTTTAAGACCTCACTAATCGGCCTTACACTTTTAAGTTCATAATGAATGAAATGACCCAGATAAAATCTCCCCTCCTTTTTACTAAACCACGGGGAGCCCCGGAGTAGTTTACCGGGCAAATTTAGTTGTCGTGACGATACCTTTCTTATTTCTTAGTGGAAGATCGGAAAAGATTTCTCTTCATCACGAGACCGATCGGATCCGCCGTAGACACCCGGGGGACCCCCACAAGGCAGGCTAAAAGAGTAAGAGGACAACAAGCAAAGAGTTATGCTTTCGTTTCTTTGCTTTGTTGAAATTGAAATAAAGTTCTTTTAAAAGGGTGTAGGTATAATGCACGCAGGCCAAGTCAAGAAAGGGACTTCCTTGCTTTTCTTTCATAGTAGTCTTAATGACTAGTAGTTTGAAGCCTTAAGAAACCGGTTTTTTTTGGCACTCGGTTCCTTCGTCTTAAGTCAAGTTCAGTTTACTTTTTAGATTCGGAACTCTTAGTCGAGCTGATGGCGAGATCTTTTTTTTGTTCGGGGTTCAAGAGAAAAGAGAGGAACCACCACCCAATGGTGCTTTTACGAAAGCACGGTCACCGGTGGCCCTCCACCTTCTCGACACTATCGAACCAGAAATCCACTCTCAATCGTTCTGGAGGAATTTTTTGCGTATCCTGGACTTAAGGGCAAAAAGTGCCCTATCCGCGGGGGGCAGCGCCAGTTGTTTGTTTTCAAGTCAAGCCCCGTATCCCTATCTCTTTTTAGGTTGGCATAACAAAGAAAGAGAGTGCCAAGAAACAACACATACCCCTCACTTTTTGAAGGTTCGGGATCGTCGGGGAGCCCCTATAGACGTAAAGACTTGACTTCACTGAACCGGCACTACTATTTGTCGTCTCTTACCACTCGTCCCTCGTCTGCTCGTTGAGTGCGTCCCTGGCCCTTGCTCGTCTCTAGTAACCGATCGAGTTTCTTCGCCCCTCTCCCGCTTTTTGATTAGGGCGAGTCACTCAAGTCCCTCTTTTACGAAAATCCCGGGGTTTATGCGTTTTTCGGAAACTAAAGTAAGTCGCTCATCAAGCTAAAAACAGAGGAGTTCCCTCACTATGAAAGGTGCCCCGTGGATGGACGAGTTCCTAAACTAAGTAAAGTTTCTCGCTTGTTGGGTTCCAAACCTCGCACGTATATGGGTCAGTCTCCTATCCTTGCCGCTGTTGACCTCTCTCCTGTCCTGCCTCAGTATCATTTCGTCTCTTTTCTTTCATTCAGCGACTGGGTGCGCGCTTCGCCATGAAAGATCTTGGTGATCTTCATTTCTTCTTGGGAATTGAAGCCAAACGTACATCGACTGTTCTAGTCTTGACTCAGACTAAATACACCTTAGATCCGCTTACTCGCACTACAAGACTCCAAGCCATGTCCCACACCCCTTGCGTTTGGCTCAAAGTTCTCTGCATATGACGGTGCTCATCTCTCTGATGCAACAGAATATCATATATTTCTGCCTTTCGATACCTCACTTTCACCAGACCTGACATTTGCTATGTCGTCAATCAAGTTTGTTAGCACGCTTTCACCACTATTCATCCTTAGGCTGTAAAACGCATCTTACGGTATCAGAAGGGTACTTTTGGCCTTGGTGTAACCATCACTCCGGGATCGTTAACCACCTTATTTGCATTCTCCGATGCTGACTGGGCTGGCTGCCCCGATAACAAACGGTCCACTATGGGCTTCTGCGTATTTCTCGAAAAAACCTACTAACTTGGGTTTCCAAAAAGCAACCGACTCTTTCCAGGTCCAGTGCCGAAGCAGAGTACAAGGCACTCACCCTTACTACCTCTGAACTCTTATGGCTTTCTTACTTGCTACGCGATCTAGTGGTGCCATTTCGCTATAAATTTCTCCTGCACTGTGATAAAGCTAGCGCTACACACTCGGTGGCCAATCCTGTGTTCCATGCTTGCTCTAAGCACATAGAAGTTGACTACCACTTCATTCGCCCTTCCCTGTCTCATTGAGTCGCCTAACCCAAGTAGCCGTCGGCCGTTCTGTTCTATCAATCCATGCATGGAATGTTCCTTCCCCCTTAGTTCACCACCCCATTGAGGAAGGAGAGTCCCACCTCTTTGAAGCGCTAATTATTCCTTAGCGTTTCACACTAAGTAAGCAAGCTACCTCTCCCTTTGGTCGAGCAAGTAAACTACCTTGCAAAATGGAAAACCTTGGATGGTCTTGAAAAAGCCTTTGAGAGCTCAACACTCGAGTGACATCATTCATCTCATAAAGATTTCGACAAAAAGATGAGAGTAAGGCAGCTTCTATTTCCTTTTTGTTTTTTAAGTGGATCCGGGGTGTGATGATGTCAGGAAAGAGCCACGTCCCCTAGAAGTCTGTCTACTTGATTTGATGAGTTAGGAATAAAAACCTTAGCCATACGTAAGGGTAGTTTAGTTGCTTACTTTAAAGAGTAAGGAAGCAGGGTGCTTCAAGAGGATATGATGGAATTGATCCCAGTATGCCAATCTAAGTCAGAAGACTTAGTCTCAGAGTCAGTCAAGAGACCTTTCCATACCGAGTAGGAAGGTCAGATCGATGAGATCGCTCAGTTGCAGTATAATTGTTTGGAGTTTCCATGGTGGACAATAGAGGCTAAATCATACTCGTGAGGTCGGTGAACTAGGTGGGAAAGTGCAGGTCAGCGCTGTGGAGATAGAAAGGCTGATGGATGGATCATTCCACTGTCTTTGAACGAGACTAGGAAATTGAGAAGACCATAGTATAGAAAAGCCTCTCTCTCATCCACTTTGAGCTCAATAAACAGCAGCTGGGCTAGAGCTTCAATCGGTGCGTCTTTTGCTTCCAAAGTCTTCGTCTTTGCCTATTTTGCACTTCTCTTCTGCATACGACTTTCCACTGGTTCCATTTCTGATGACTTCTCCGAATGAAGGAAGAAGTCAATGGGAAATGGCCTGAGTAAATCAGTCGTAGGTCAATCCATCTAGGAAGACCCCAGATTTGTATCCTGATTGGTTCTTGCACATGTTTGCTTTCCAACATGAGCATTTTTTGAGTCCTCAACATTGCAAATGAAGCCAATCTTCTTGGTTGGTACGGACTAGCTCGAGGCTTGCTTTCATAGGGTCCAAATGGTGTCCGTGTAGTGCATCATTTTCACTCACTCTCTTTTTTGGGCCCCAATGTGAACATAGGAATTAGATGGATGACTCACTCTCTCTTGAATGAGATGTCAAACAAGTCATCCGAGCTCCTTCCTTTTGGATGACTAAGGTTTTGGGTTTTAGGGTTGAGGGTTGAGGGTTTAAGGGTTTAAGGGTTTAAGGGTTTAAGGGTTAAGGGTTAAGGGTTAAGCGTTAAGGGTTTAGGGTTAAGGGTTAAGGGTTTAGGTTTTGGGGTTTGGGGGTTGAGGGTTTGGGGGTTGAGGGTTTAGGGTTGAGGGGTTAGGGTTGAAGGTTTAGGGTTTTAGGGTTTAGGGTTTAGGGTTAGGGTTTAGGGTCACCTCGATTTACGTGTCGCTAGGTTTAGGGTTTTCAGTTTCCTTTTGGCCTCCTCGATTTAGGTGTCGCTGGCGTTCATCATTTTTGAGTTTTTATGGGCCTCCTCGATTTTCGTGTCGTTGGAGCTCATCGTTTTCAAGTTTTTTTGAGCCTCCTCGATTTCTGTGTAGGTTGCCCAACTCGATTTTTACGTCATTGGGCTTACCTGTTGCGCATCGCTTTAACTCATCACGAATTCCTTTAACTCGTCGTGTGCCCCTTTAACTCGTCGCGAAAATCCTACACCTTAGGTTTAGGATTGCGGTACACGTGTTTATGGTTGTCGTTCGGCTTTTGTCTTTCTTCTTTCGTCTAGTTTATTCAGGTCGGGTGCCTTCTCCTAAGTAATTATCAAGTTCAGTGATCGTCCTAAGAGTTGAAAACGCAATGCCTTGTTAGGAGTGAGAGTAAATAACGATGGGGTGCATGAATAATAGATTTATCAGGTTCAGTAATCTTCCTAATAGTTGAAAACGCAATGCCTTGTTAGGAGTGAGAGTAAATAACGATGGGGTGCATGAATAGTAGATTTATCAGGTTCAGTAATCGTCCTAAGAGTTGAAAACGCAATACCTTGTTAGGAGTGAGAGTAATCGTCCTAAGAGTTGAAAACGCAATGCTCTGTCTGTCACCACTTTCCCCTAAACCATTAACTCGTCGTGTAAAGCTTCATCACTAACCCTTAAACCACTAAACTAAACCCTAACCCTGAAGCTTGAACCCGTCGCCTAAAGCCTAAACCTTCAAACCTTAACCACAAAACAAAAACCTAAACCATAAACTAAACCCTACCCCAAACCCTAAACCTGTCGCCTAAAGCCTTAACCCGTCGCCTAATGCCTCAACCCGTTGCCTAAAGCTTGAACCTGTAGCCTAAAGCCTAAACCCTAAAACCTGAACCACAAAACTAAAACCTAAACCATAAACTAAACCCTACCCCCAAACCCTAAACCCGTCCCCGAAAGCTTGAACCCGTCGCCCAAAGCTTGAACTCGTCGCCTAAAGCCTAAAGCCTAAACCCTAAAACCTGAACCACAAAACTAAAACCTAAACCATAAACTAAACCTTACCCCAAACCCTAAACTCGTCGCCTAAAGCCTAAACTCGTCACCTAAAGCCTTAACCCGTCGTCTAAAGCTTGTTCTGTAAGACACTACTTCTTTTGCGCTATTTTCCCTAGGAAGCGTGCCATTTATACTCCTCGGGAAGCATGCCCTTTTCGCGCATGGAGAAGCGTGCCCCCTCATGCGCATCATGAAGCAAGCCCTTTTCCTTATCTCGAGAAGCGTGCCCATTTCCATAACTCGGGAAGCGTGCCCTTCTAGCACATCGTGAAGTGTGTCACTTTCCATGTCTTGGGAAGCATGCCAATCTATGTATCTCTGGAAGTGTGTACCTTTCCGCGCACCGTGAAGCATGCCCTTTCTGCACATCGTGAAGCATGCCCCATTTCGCTCATCGGGAAGCATGCCCATTCCCACGTATCGGGAAGCG